GAAATACTTGCAGCAAATTGTAATAATTTTGACGTGTATTGTAATAACAACGTAAATTGTAATAAAATTTGACGTAAATTGTAATACGCAAATTGAAATAAAAATTGACGTAAATTGTAATAATGTCCACTTGCGGTAAAATGTAATAACTTTTTACGTAAATTGTAATAACCTTATAAGTTTAGTGTCAAAGGCGTTAAATGACTAGAACCTATCCTTGTCAGGGTTGGTACAGGGTTGATCGTACAATCGTCATGAAAGTATGGGTGTGGGGGAGGATTTAGGTCGTTATCGTACATTGTTGTTTAATTATATGTATATATAAACGCATTGGAATTTCATTTCTATGGTTGTCCAGAAGAGGATTACTTACTAGAATGAACTTAGTTTTCTTATTTATTTGAGAAATACTCTATGTGTTTTGTACTTAATTGTAATATATCCTATTGACGATTTTCATCATAATTGTTCATATTTAACCTATGGAATCATATTTCAATTGGTAAAGTAGGTAGTAATATACACAATGGAATAATTATAACATAACAAACTTACACAAATATATTGATGTGTAAATGTGGAAAGTCTGACTTTTACTGACTGAAGCAAATTTATTTATTTTGCAACTGTATATTTGTACATATTTTATGCGGAGAGGGGTTTACTAAGTTGCAAGAACTTGTCCCCAATACAATTCTCATTTTGTTCTGTGAATAAAATATGTTTAACCTAAACTAAACTAGCAAATGGATGACATGTCATTCTGCAGTAGTCTGTGAGCAAGCTGATTTATACATGTTCATATACATTATATCAATTTATTATTATTCAAGTTTCATTTTTTTTAACGTTGCTCGGATGATGTAAAGCAAATAATGACAATGTCCTGGACGATGTACATGTAGGTATGTGAACCCGCAAAGACTACCTTTATCAATTATTTTACGTGCAGCTTGTGTCATGTCTGTATTGTTAGAATGATACTCTAGCAACTGTACACATCGAAATTTATGACTCAAAGATCCATCCTCGGGTTAAAAATGATGGATTACAGTAGGTACGTCTATTCGACAAATAGGTTAATTGATTTATCATCCAATAGTAGCTTAGCTAGGAGTCCATTGCAATAACATTGAGTTACGAGTTACCGAAGAGAGCTCTGTGCAACCGGACCCTGAAAATATGTCGATTTGCATTGGAGGTTTACTTAATTTGATAAGGAGCACATGACCGTTTCCTTGAAACAAACGAGACAATTCAATCGTATTTATACATTATATTTTGACGAAGAATTCAAATAAAACAAATGAGTGACAGATCTCCTGTGCAATGTCAAAGGAAAAAAAACAGTCGTCAGCAAATGCAGCATAGATTTCCCATGCATGGGAAAGGAGAATACTTAATACATAACATTATATACAATGTTTTTATTAATATCAAAAGAGGGGCGTGGATATTCTTTACCTACATTGCATATACTATTAGATGTTGTGTATTCTCGATCTCTGTGAACTTCTCACAGATAAATAATTAATAATAAATAATGCAAACCATGTTAACTTATGCAATATTTGTAGCAATGTATGATTAACATATGGATCATTAATATAACATAAATATTTCCTTTCATAGGAAGAAGTATATTTAATGAAATATATGAATAAATGTAACTGTCTGGATTCCTTTCATATGTCATGAAGAACTAACAACAACTTACTGACAACTTTTTTCGCTGGGATAATAACTCCAACAACAAAAACAGAATCCATCATGATAACGGCACGAAATCATAATTCAAAGCATACACAAATAATATCTGATATCCTCGGACATGTCTTCTTGAGTTTCAAAGAGGATCAGAATGTATAATACATTTGTTGCAATCAATTATTGCTGAAATATATCTGTTTTGATCAAAATTGAAAGGATGGAAAATCTATAATGAAAAGTGTTTTGTCACTAACGTAAATATTCTCTTTGACCTTATACGAAGAGTATTCTAAGATCATTAAACTCGGCAATCGTTGGTGGATTGCGCCAAGCAACCTTGATACCAAATTTGGTACCTCACGTATAATGCGGTACATAATTTTCGAAACAGATAATTACGTTTTTCATAAGTTATCACTAATTTGTGACATATATACGGACAACAATTACCTCAGAGGATAATCTCAGGGGTTTAAGAGGCAATTAGAACTAGGTAAAAAAAATCGGAGCAAAATATGATTTGACTTTTTGGTAAGTCACCAGTCATTTCATTGGAATTTTAAGAGAGTATGTTATTACAGTGCTTGATGTTAGCCCAAATTACTTTAATCCTCTTAATCGTTCAGATGAGGTTATGTTTTCAGGGGATTATTGTACGTATATATTTCGTATCAAGGTTTCTTGGTGCAATCCACAAACGATTGTCGAGTTTAATGAACTTCAAGTACGTTTCAAGGTCAAAGAGAAAATTTACTTTAGTGACAAACATATTTTCATTATACATTTTCAATTCCTTTCTATTTGGATACAAGCAGATATATTTCAGCAATTGATTGCAAGAAATTTATGATAATTCGTATACTCTTTGAAACTGTACAAGAGTTATCCGAAGATACCGGTTGTTATTTGTGTATGCACGGGATCTGTCAACTCATTTGTTGTATTTGAATTCTTCGTCAAAATAAAATGAATTTTATAAATATGATTAAATTCCCTCGTTTGTTTCAAGAAAAGGATCATGTACTCCTTATCAACTCGTATAGCGTTTCCACTGCAAATCGACACACTGGTTGACCAGCCTGTGTTTGTACCCTTCGTCATCACTCGTTCAGTCGTGTCGAACTGGTCAACGTACTGTTGAAGCAAGTCATGCAAAAAACATCTTGAATAGCCTTATAAGAGTATTGAACAATATGTCACAATTAAGTTATTTGTCGAATATACGGTTGTGTAACCGATCATTTTGAACCCGAGGATGGATCTTTCAGTCATTTAAATTTATGGATGTTGACACCACCCTTTAATGACGATTGTACGATAAAGCCAAAACCGACCATCCCTAACTTAACAGTTTTGTACGTTTGTCATCATACACAGTATTTCTCGAATTGTACATGTGAAACGCAAGCTCAACTGACAAAGATCATTTCTAGTCAATTGGCGTCTTGGACACTACGGTAGACAGGTTATTACAATTTACGTAAGAATTTATTACATTTTACCGCAAGTAGAGATTATTACAATTTACGTCAATTTTTATTACAATTTGCGTATTACAATTTACGTCAAATATTATTACAATTTACGTTGTTATTACAATTTACGTCAAAATTATTACAATTTGCTGCAAGTATTACAATTTACCTTTTTATTACAATTTACGTCGTAACAGCCGCACTCAGCAATATTCCAGCTATATGACGACGGTCTGTAAAGAATCTGGTCTGGACCAGACAATCCAGTGATTGACATCATGCTCATCGATCCACGCAATTGAGATACGATGACATGCATCATCCAAGTCAACGAACCTGACCACCCGATCCCGTTCATCATATGTTGGTTTGTTTGTTGTTTAGCAGCAATATTCCAGCTATATGACGGCGGTCTGTAAAGAATCAGGTCTGAACCGGACACTCGGGGAGTCTGACCAATATTATTAAACAACCATCTGCTTCATCTATGTCTACAAACGTCCTGTCAAAATATGTATGTATTGTTTTTAAAAGGCTTTTAAATGGCATCCGGTGTGATGTGGGGTTTTATGCCAAGCATAAAATAATTAACATAATTTCCCAAGAGGTTCAGTGTTCGATCAGTTATAAACGTTATAAATAACCTCCATTTAGGACAGACTTTAAAATTCTTAGTTTTCGGATGTTTTGTGGGTGAAAAATCGGTAGGTGGGAAAAAGCAAATTTAAAAATCACACATTTCAGATTATCTTTTGTTTCTTCAAAAGGTTACCTGAACATGTAGTCACGTGAGCAGTGTTGAGTAAGCGTGTGTAGTGGATCGTGCAGTTTGAACTTTTGTGCGATATTCGTTTTGTAGTGAACACTCTAGTGTAAAGTATACTTTTCATGGATTTCACATAAAACAAAAAGTCTTGCCTTAACATATTTTAAATGTATTCATGCAACGCCACAACATATCACACCATTTGTACCTCCAACAATAGGTCTTCAGTAACCCATGCTTGCCGTAAAAAGCGACTATACTTGTAAGGCTCGCTGGCTTGGTTGATGCATGTCATCGTATCCCAATTGCGTAAATCGATACTCATGATGTCAATCAATGGATTGTCTGGCCCAGACTCCTGTCAAAACTGCCATGGAATAAAAATCTACTACTACTACTACTACTACTACTACTACTACTACTACTACTACTACTACTACTACTGCTACTACTGACCGCCTCCGTGGTCTAGTGGTAAAGCGTCCGCCCGGAGAGCGGAAGGTCCGGGGTTCGATCCCCGGCCGCGTCTTACCAAAAAACGTTAAAAGATGCAACTTGTTGTTACCCTGTCTGGCGCTCGGCATTAAGGGGCTGTAACAAGGAATGGTCGCATACTGTGTCTAAGTGGGGTATTCATGTTAAACTGCGTCATGGTATATCAGTGGGCTAGCACTATAAATCGGCATCAGTCCGGACTAGTACAAGCAGCCGCACACACGCACGTGCATGCACGTGGCTATATAAGTGCAATAATCTTGGACGCGACGTCAAACCTCATTTCACCTCACCTCACTACTACTACTACTACTACTACTACTACTTCTACTACTACTACTACTACTTCTACTAATAATGTGTTTACTAATAATCAAGCATAATGTTATAAATGCTATACCGTTTGCTATAGTTCAGAATAATACAAGTAGCTTGTCAGGAGTAACTCAGCACAGATCGGTCTTTGATCTGTGCGATCGGATGACACTGAAGACGTCGATCGGCTTCAGCTGAACGTGGCATGTGCGCTCACCTGAGGGTCACGTGATCGTCGTCAACCAGACCACAAAGATGGCGGCTGGTAAAGTTGCTCTAGTTACCGGGGCCAATGCGTAAGTAATTTCCCTGCTAAGAAAACTCTTGTCGGTATATCAGCTAACCCATGTAGTTACATTAATGAGATATGTTTGTTTCGAAAGGATATTTCGATAGTTGAAGCTGTTGAGAGTCGCGAAGAGAATGGGAAAGTTGTTCGAACTGGCATTCGCAGCGCCAGTATAATCAGACGATCACGGACGTAAAAATTGTTGAGAGTAACCAATACTAACCATCTCATAACAAAGGCATGGCAAAGTAGTGCTGAATCTTTCTTGAAAGATGAAGTGAAATAACAATATTTGTACGTGAATGGTCAGCTATGTTTGACGTGAAATTCCCTGTAGCCTGTTCCTGTTTTGGCTTGGTTGTAATCAGCCGGAAATGTTTACAGCTGTTCTACATAAGTCGTCAACTGTGAAGACCAAATAGATCTATCTACCGGGCAGTGTGCTCACCGTCAATGCCTTGATGTGCAAGTCCCCCGCTAGCAAAGATATGGTACGATAGCGACATTTGACGACGAGAAAGTAAATTTGTACGTGTTCAAATTATCTTTACACCACAGGAACTCGTTATTGGTCAGTAAATAAAAATATGTACCGCCTATATGTAAGTAGAGAACTTACATATATAGGGGGTATATATTTTTATTTACTGATCAATAACGAGTTCCTGTGCTTCACACGTATGCCGGGAAAACATGCAGATTACTTTTCAGGTTATTTCAGTGTTGCATGATTAATGTTCGCATCTCCTGTCTATGTTTGTCTGCAACATAAGGTTTATATCTTCTAAATGTGTTGGATTTTTATTGTAGTTATGTTGGAGTATTTTTAACATGTTTGAAATAGCAGTAATTTAATATTTTGTAGTACTACGTGCTTGTGTCAAAGAGTATCTGTTCCTGTAGTGAAACTGTTCCTATGTTACTTGCCTCTGGGGAATTACTCCCATGGAACACTTTTTACTTGGAAACCTTTTCCACGATACATTTTCATTGGCAATGTTTGTTCCGGGTGGAGTTAATTCCTAAGTTATCTAAAGTTACACATTTTGCTGTGCAGAGTTGCATCCTTTAGTTGCTCCAGGATCCTAAATATTGTGGATCGCTACTATAGTCTGGAAGGTGCACAGGAATCACGCACGTTGAGACGCCCAACGCTAACACCGTATTCGTGCGTGCATGATTCCCGTGCACCCTTTCGAGTTGAGTTGATTGGTTCAACTGTGTCATATGGCCCTGCGACGCAGGGGTAGCATTATGCAGATGGCTGTTTCAATGAATGCTCGTTCCAACCGTGACGAACAGGTCTGGTTGTTGATAAAATATAGTGATAGCTAAATAGACAGATTTTTTATTCATGCACCGATTGTCTTTAAATGTAATATCCAGTTATGTATGACTGTTTAATAATCTCATACCAACTTTGACTGGAGTAGGTCCGATAGTTTTTCAGATATTGTAGTAAACGTCGGTACCTTAAATTACCTTCCAGACTATAAATGAAGCTGATTTTGATAATAAGCCTTAGAGTTTTAAACTTTTGTCTTGTGTGGTGCACGTTTTGATGTGCTGTATGTTAAATGAATATTGTGTGTCCTTTGGGACGCAGTATATTCTTTTGTGCGTCCATTCTTAATATTTGTGAGTACTGGACGCAGATTTGTGTGTCACGTAAAACCTTGCACGAGGGTCAGATTCTGTATGTCCCTAAGAAATCACTTTGTTCACTTCATGTTCACTTCAAATCACATCTATCAAAATTAATGTACACAAATGCATTTAAGACGTTACAACAAAATATAAATAAAAAAAATGTCGCCCCTCTCACATTTTGTTTTGAAATTTGGTGGAAAATCTAATAATATTGTGGCCTAATAATCCCAACTGGAATGCCCATATATCCATTCCATGTTCCTAACAGTGGTCTTGGCCTAACTCTGTGTGAACGTCTACTCTCGGAACACAAAGATCTGAAGCTATGCCTTGCATGTCGGAACAAGCTCCGAGCTGAAGTGGCCCAAGAAGCTCTGAAACTTTCCCATCCTGATGCCGACATCTCCATCATAATCGTGGACACCTCCAGCCTACAGTCAGTGTACAGGGCAGCCCGGGAGATCAAACACAGGTAGGTGACATCTGTACCTGAACTGTCAGGTGTTCTTATGTAGCAGTTCAATGTGCATCACCAGATCTCCTGAACTGTAAAGTGTACTTATTTAAGAATTGACTTTCACTTTGTGCGAGTTCATTGGAGTATGAACCTTCATAGGGTGAGGGCCAAACTGTACGATACAATGTTTGGCCCTCACTCTATGAAGGTTCATACTCCAATGAACTTACACAAAGTGAAAGTCAATTCTTATAATTTTTTTATCATAATTTCTTACCTCAAAGGATGTAGGCCAAGATCTAAACACAATTTTATTTAGTACGTGTGACTTCATGTTTACACTGACAGCCATACAACAACCAGCTATATCGCGGAGTAATATAGTTCCTCAAAAAGAGAGGTGACATAGGCGTATGGAGGCACAACTTGCTCTTCAGAAACATCTTACCCAGCACATGTGTTCAAATCATATCCTTATTAGATGAGAAAGGTCTGTGAAGAACTACCTCAGTAAGGCAGTCACAATGACAGCGCGTCGTAATACATTTACATCAAGAACAAGACGTCAAAATGGCCGACACGATAAACGTGACGGGAGAGATTTCCGAAGTTGTTAATGAACCTGTGGCGGTTACATGTGTTAGGCATCATTGATCAACTGGCCGATCATTGAAAGGTGAATAAAGATGCGTCAAACAGGCACAAAGATAAATTCATAGATTGCTGGAGACGGTCAATGTCAGCCTAGGCACGGATTGAGTCGATGCTACGATAGTTTAGATGTGCATTTCTTCGTTTGTTCATTAGGATAGGCCACAGCGAGGATATTCGTAAACAATCATGCAGTCACGCTCTCTGACATTTATCAATGTATACTGAAACGCTGAGACCAAGAATAAAGGTTCTATAAGATCAGAAAGAACGATTATGTATGTTTTCATGCCAGGGAATTCCCAGGGGTTTCCCCAGGAATGTGGAAGTAGCCTGTCAGTGTTTACGTCATTTCAAGAACACGATCTCGTGAAAAATGTATGAACGTCAAATTGTGTTGTTCATACACTTATGAACGTCAATTTCGCGGACATGTGATCGAACTCTCGTCCAATTGAAAAGCGGTTTATCGTGTAAACTTCAAATTAAAAAATTATATGGTGGTGTATTGCAGGTACAGCCGCCTGGACCTCCTGTACCTCAACGCGGGCATCATGCCAGTCACCGGCTTTAACTGGTCCCACTTTGTCAAGGGCCTCTTCTCCAGGTGAGACAGTCTGTCTGATAGATGCATGATGCATGATACATGATCAAACTAATGTGATACTCACTCAGGCTATCATTCTGTCAGTGTCACAGCAATGAGGGGACTGATGTTTGTTTGTTTGTTGTTTAACGCCGCATTCAGCAATATGCCAGCTGTATGACGTCGGTCTGTAAATAATCAAGTCTGGACATCACAAGCATCGATCCACACAATTTGGGACATGATGACATGCAAGCAAGCCTGACCACCCGATCCCGTTAGTCGCCTCTTACGACAAGCCTGGGACTGATGAGTTATACTGTCTGGTGTAAATTGAATCAAAAACACTCGAGCATTTTACTTGTACATTTTAGCATAAAAGTTGGATGGAAAACCCCATTGTCTTGTATCTTCCCACCAGACAGGGATTGTGTGATCATTGTGTGGCATTATTTCCCCATTTCCCACCATGTAACTGTGCACATTTTGTGACATTGCTTCCCCACGTCTCCCTGACAGTGACTGTGTGCACATGCTGACTACCGCCCAGGGACTGCTGAAGCAGGCTGACTTCACCACGGAGGAGGGATTCCGCAACATCTTCGCAACCAACCTGTTCGGACATTTTGTTCTGGTAGGCAACTGATGATGTTTAACATAAAAATATGTCAAGGGATATCGCATTACAGATTTACAACGCAGTGACAATAGGTTACAATCAATGAGTGACTATATTTAATTTAGTCTGTACAGCCTGCCTCTGTGGATAGACTGTCTGCTCAGAGACCACCTACATGGTCTAGTCATCTTCCTGAGGCAAGGGAGTTAATTGACTTTAAAAGTCCAGTTTCCACCCTTGCCAAACTAGGCTGGAATTCCTGGGCTCGATCGTAGCGCCACAAGTGGCTGTTACAAATTTAGTCCTTTCTATGTCTCTCCTATGGACCAATCAGATTCCACCTCTCGTATCACTTGCATTTGCTTCAAACAAAATGGCGGCGCCCAGTCAAGACGATCTGATCGATAATCAAGATCAAATCACGTGAGCACCTTGATTAAAAACTTGAAAAGATTTTGAAAATATCTGTTGACAATGAGTTGGCAGTGCACATGCTTTGCAAATCCTGCAATCGACCGAAATCTGCACGACAGTTTACGAACCGGATTTCAATTTCGGCACGCGATTTTGATTGGACTATGCATAGACTCGTTAGTCCAGCCAAAATCTTAACTCCATAATACCAGCCTAGTTCAGCAAGGAGGGAAACTGGACTTTTATAGTCAGTTAACTCTCTTGCCTCGTGAAGATGGGTCTAGTGGACGGAGTGCCTGCCCAGGGAGAGGGAAGTCGGTGGTTCGATCCACTGGCTGCATCATACCAAAAGACATTGAAAGATGGTTGTTACCCTGTCTGTCACTGGGCATAAAGAGTATAACACAATGACTGGTCGACTTGGAGTCAGGGTACTATGTCTGAGTGAGGCGTACTATGTATCTCAGTGTGCTAGCACTAGTAAACTGGTATTAGTCTGATCATCCAGCCACACACACCGGCATGGATGTCATTATATAAATGCAATAAAGTGACGTTAAACCCCATTCCACCTCCCCTGTGTGCTAGTGGTTGCTTCCATATTTCCAGATTCGCCAGCTCGAAGACATCATAGGGTCTACCAACAAGCCAGGCCACGTAACACAAGTTGTCTGGACATCGTCCAGTGCTGCCCTCAAGGACAATTTTGACATAAAAGACATACAGCATAAGAACGGGTAAAGATGGGTGCTCCTTGTTGGTGTTGCCAAAAAGAGAGTCTATTTTTTTTAATTTGGTTTTACAGATTCGTCAGCCCCTAAAATATTGAAAAGTAGAAAAAACTAACATCTTTTTCATATTCTGCCAACCAACTGCAACATTGTGATGTAGCTGTCACCTTTCATGTTCATCATGTTTGCCACACAATCATTAAATAGTATTATCATACCTCCCTGTCAGAATGATGAGATCTGATTGGTTCACATGATCTTGATAAGACACTGTGTATCCCGCCTGGGAGGGAAATATATTTCTGAGTGGGAGAATAAATCACTTATACCAAGCCAAGCAAATAGACACACGTTTCTTCAAAGTCAGTGAATGTCATGACACAAGTAAACCACAGCTCAATCGAAGAGCTGTTTTCTATCAATTTTGAATTTGTTACAATTCTTTTACAATGGCAGATTAAAACATTGGTAAGATAAATTTGTTGTAGCAGTATACTCGGGGTACATGTATTAATGTGCGTCTATAGGGATACTGCTACATATTAGAGCATGTTTAACTGCAAGACCACGGACTTGACCAGTACTGCGTGCTGGGCAACATATTCAAATAACTTCATAAAGGACCGCAGAAATCTAATTGGTTTTATCCCCTTCTACTGAACAATGAGTGAGTGCGTGAGTTGGGTTTAACATCAATTTGAACAGTATTGCAGTCATGTCACAGTCGGCAGCTTAATGTGGGAGGAAAGCCTGAAGTGATGCAGGTCTCCGACATTTACCACTTTGGTGAAGCCAATGAGCACGGGTATGGTGCTGAGAAACTTAGAAACATTATCAGGGTGAACCGGGATTCGAACCCATGATCATAGCTTTCTGGTGTGCCCAAGGGACGAAACTCTGCACAGCGAATTGTGGCGCCTTAGATGACAGGGTCACCCATCCCCACCGGCTGAATGGTGCCCCTTTCCACAAAGTGATGTTAGAGCTATTACTGTCCTCAGTCTATGCTAAAGACCAAAGATCACTTTGCGAATTGGACCCTGAATGTTTTCATTGATTGTTTTAGAAAATGCTGAACATAACTGAATTTTGCTGATCAATTTCACCTTGATCTTTCACATACTTCAATAGAGTAGTGGACCGATGAAGATCCGGGGTAGAATATAGGTCTTCAGCAACCCATGCTTGTTGTAAAAGGCAACTATGCTTGTCGTGAAAGGCGACTAACGGGATCAGGTGGTAAGGCTCGCTGACTTGGTTGATGCATATCATCAGTCCCAATTGCGTGGATCGATGCTCATGATGTCAATCACTCAATTATTTACAGACCGCCATCATATTGCTGGAATATTGCTGAGTGCAGCGTTAAACAACAAACAAAAAATAGAGTAGTGTTGTGGTCAGTGTTGTCTGCAGTGTGTCTGAATAGTGCCACGCATGGATGATAATGTCAGTATTTTATACCGTATTCACTGTATAAATGACCCTGACCAACTTCTTGACCAATCTGTAAGTAATATCCATAATCGTCCCCTACTAAGACCTACAGCAAACAGCAGCACAGTAGAGGCATGTCTTGATTACTGAGTAACTGTTTACATATTTTAGTTTCAAGCTAAGTTTGTTCACTACTACACAATCTCTGAAAATTAGGCGCCTATTATGGCAAATACGGTAATCATTTTGTGGTGGGTCTGTGTTGATGATGTGACGTGACGAGGTAACAGTGATCAGTAAACATTACCTCACTGAAAGTACAGCGACAAGTGACTGATGTGTATGTTTAAAATCCCTGTGTGTAATTTTACTTTCATTTTGCATTAAGGCGACCTGAAGCTATGGTTTGAGTGTCTGCCTGGAGAACGGAAGGTCGGTGGTTCGATCCCCGGCTGTGTCATAACAAAGTCGGCGAGCCTTACCACCCGATCACGTTAGTCGTCTCTTTGAACAAGCATAGTCGCCTTTTACGACAAGCATGGGATGCTGAAGGCCTATTCTACCCTGGATCTGCACGGGTAGAAGATAGAACTTGTTGTTAACCTCCAGGGCATTTAAGAGACACAACACTGACTGGTTGGCTCAGAGTCAGTATACTGTGTCTGAGTGGGGAATCCATGTTAAACTGCAGCATGGTATCTCAGTGGGCTAGCTCTAAAAAACCACAGCCATGGAAGCATGCACGTGGCTATATAAGTGCAATAATCTTGAACTCATGTTAAACTGCAGCATGGTATCTCAGTGGGCTTTCACTATAAAACCACAGCCACGGAAGTACGCACGTGGCAATATAAGTGCAATAATCTTGAACTCATGTAAAACCCTATTCACCTCACAAATTGTCCGGGAAACATGATGATGTACATGGCGAGGTTGTAAATGATGCTGATTCTGTGTGATACATGTTCCAGATGTGACCCCTACAGTTCATCTAAATATGCAACAGACATGCTCAGTGTGGTTCTCAATGACAAGCTCAACCACAAGGTGAGTTATCTCCCTTCATTGATTCTGTTATTCAAATCTCTGGCTAACTTGGAATTTTTTTATAATCATTCAAAGATTCGTTTGTACATTGCAAGTACAGACAACATGGCCACCATGACTAAGTATGACACGGAGTGTCTGTCTGTCTGAGTGGTACAGTACACCACAGTAAAGCGAGAATTAAAGAATATGTATAGGATAAAACACGTCCGAGGGTTGTTATGATATTTAAAACCCGCATCCCGAGGGATTTTCCGAGGGAAAGGGTTTTAAATATCATAACAACCCAAGGGGAAGTGTTTTATTTTACTTATAAACCGATTTTGAACCATAAAATTATCCCCAAACTAAATTTCAACCCATTATAAGTGTGCAACAAAGCACGTCCAAGGGTTCATCACATTTAAAACACGCATCCCAAGGATAACGGTTTTAGATATCATAAAAAAAACCTGGGGAAGTGTTTTATCTAACTTACGAACCGAAAAAAGAAACTTAAAACAACATTTATCAACATTTTTATGTTTCAACATACTTTCCATGAACCTTAGGAAACGCGCGTAAAATATCTGTTGCTGGCTTACGGATCTTGAAAAGGACATTCTAAAAAGCAGTGCGGCTTATCAACACCTCTGTAGCCTTGTGGTACACTCACTGGGCTACAGATATGAAGGTTGCGAGTTCGATCCTCAGCAATATAAAGAAAACATTTGTCATTTGATTTTACATTTCATTACATGTTACAATCTGAACTAATAAATACCCAGGACATTATATAAAATCCCTGGGATATTATAACACAATATATAGCAAATATGACTTGAATATCCTATAAAATCCCAGGGACATGCCTAGGGACATGGCCAAGCCTAGGTTCAGATGTTGCAGTTAGTGAACTATGTCAAACTGGGGCATTACTTGTGTATGTAGGGCTTTAAAAAATAAAAGAATAGGTTCTCAGGCAATGTTTTTTGTGAAAATATAGTGTGGGCGGTGTCCGTTTTTTGTTTTTTTTCTTTTTAGTTGTTGTTGGTCTGTAACCAAATAAACAGTTGTGTAACCAAATAAACAGTTGTGTAAACAGATAAACAATTGTGTACTATCAACCTTGGAAAGGGCCTCCCTACATAAATGTATTCCTTGATGAGTAAGAAACTGGATCAGGTATCTCTGTTATAGTAGGGGTGTCGCGATACAGGTGTCAGATGATGCAATACATATCTCAATACAGAAGCCACGATACGATACGTAGCACATTACTCATCAGTGTTTGTGTAACTAGACGAAAACTCAAGGGTCCACGCTTCTGATTGGCTAATGCCACTAGTGCTGACTGCCGTTTATCCAATTATTGTTAACTACTGTATTATGATATTCAGCAAGGAAAAGCTAGTCAGTCTAGTTATTGGCCAATTTTCGTATCTGAAAGATAAAGCTACGAGGGAAAACCTATTTTGTACTTGATATCGATGTGAGATCCACATGGATAATCGATATGGGGTTAAATGTAAATTTATCCTAAATTAAGTGTATCGGGTATTGTATCGTGCAAAGTTTGTTGACGATGCTCCAGTGTACCGGTGAATCGTGACATCACTAAGTCATACCTCCATGTTTTGTTTTCTGTTGGTGTTTCTGAGCAGGTGGTTTGTATGTGTTCACTGTTGTTGCAGGGTATCTACTCCCACAGCGTGTGCCCCGGGCTGGTCATGACGAACCTCACCAATGGCATCATGCCGCCATGGTTCTGGACAATAATGTGGCCAATCATAATGCTGGTAGGTAGGAAGTTTAACACCACTTGGTGTAGACCTCTAACACTTTTTGAAACACAAGAACATGTATGTATAGAGTGCTACACCTGTTCCCCTGTAGTTGCTGTGTCTTAGACATCTGGGCCACAAATTGGCATTTGTTTGTTTGTTGTCTAACACCACACTCAGCAATATTCCAGCTTTAGGGCAGCTGTCTGTAAATAATCAAGTCTGGACCTGACAGTGATTGACATCATGAGCATCGGTCTACGTAACTGGGATATCCGATGACATGCATCAACCAAGTCAGCGAGTCTGACTTCCCGATACCGTTAGTCACCTCTTATGACAAGCAAGGGTTGGTGAGGACCAGTTCTAGCCCAAATTAGACATGTTAGAAGGTCCTTAGCTAAAGTCACTTGCTGCAGTTCATCAGAATGATGATTTGGGGCTGCTGATGGCGGGGCTCTCCTCCAGAGAAACAAGCTTTGTTCCACAAAGTGCAACTATACAACTATAACTCGAAGATCACATTGTGGTAGGGCTGGGACGGGTAACTCGGGTACCCGGGTTGGGTGGGTACTGAGTAGGACCCGGGTACCCACAGGACTACCCGGACCCTTGGTTAGTCACGTGGTTCTGATTTTTCATATGGTTGAATAAAGATATAACTTAAATCAACTTCAGTGTATGAATGACCAGATTGTTTAATACATGTATCTAGATACATTTTGCCAGGGCTATTCTAAAAATGTTCCCAATCGGACATTTTGAGACATCTCCTGAGACCTACAGTGGGTACCCAGGTAGGGTCGGGTAATAGGGGGGTGGGTACCCGGGTAGTAAATTTGGACTTGTCCCAGTCCTACTTTGTGGAACATGCCCCCAAGAAGTCAAATTCTTTATTTGTCCATCATGTTCCTGTAATCTTGCACATTATTGACATAGTACCCCTTGATTCAGTTACATTTTGACGAGAAAAGGTAAACTATTGGAAACACTCTTAGAACCTTATCATGTTTGTAACCACAAAAATATATCATTGTCAACTGTTGGCTGACTTTTCAAAGGAGTTTATTAAACAGTATACTGCAAGGTATAAGACCAATGATATTTCATTTGCTCTGTGTCATACATGGATGCCGTATGTTTGATGTTTTATTTGCACTGTATACTTGGATGCCGTATGTTTGATGTTTTATTTGCACTGTATACTTGGATGCCGTATGTTTGATGTTTTATTTGCACTGTATACATGGATGCCGTATGTTTGATGTTTTATTTGCACAGTTTACTTGGATGCCGTATGTTTGATGTTTTATTTGCACAGTTAACTTGGATGCCGTGTGTTTGATGTTTTATTTGCACTGTATACGTGGATGCCGTGTGTTTGATGTTTTATTTGCACAGTTTACTTGGATGCCGTATGATTGATGTTTTGTTTGCACGGTTTACTTGGATGCCGTATGTTTGATGTTTTATTTGCACTGTTTACTTGGATGCCGTATGTTTGATGTTTTATTTGCACAGTTAACTTGGATGCCATATGTTTGATGTTTTGTTTGCACTGTTTACTTGGATGCCATATGTTTGATGTTTTATTTGCACTGTTTACTTGGATGCCATTGTTTGATGTTTTATTTCCACTGTATACTTGGATACCGTACATGTTTGATTTGCACTGTATACGTGGATGCCGAGTGTTTGATTTGCCCTGTATACTTGGATGCCGAGTGTTTGATTTGCCCTGTATACTTGGATGCCGAGTGTTTGATTTGCACTGTACACTTGGATGCCGAGTGTTTGATTTGCCCTGTATACTTGGATGCCGAGTGTTTGATTTGCCCTGTATACTTGGATGCCGAGTGTTTGATTTGCCCTGTATACTTGGATGCCGAGTGTTTGATTTGCACTGTATACGTGGATGCCAAGTGTTTGATTTGCCCTGTATACTTGGATGCCGAGTGTTTGATTTGCACTGTATACTTGGATGCCGAGTGTTTGATTTGCCCTGTATACGTGGATGCCGAGTGTTTGATTTGCCCTGTATACTTGGATGCCGAGTGTTTGATTTGCCCTGTATACTTGGATGCCGAGTGTTTGATTTGCACTGTATACTTGGATGCCGAGTGTTTGATTTGCACTGTATACGTGGATGCCGAGTGTTTGATTTGCACTGTATACGTGGATGCCGAGTGTTTGATTTGCCCTGTATACATGGATGACGTGTGTTTGATTTGCACTGTTTACTTGGATGACGTGATGTGTTTGATGTTTGATTTGCGCTGTATACTTGGACGCTGTGTGTTTGATTTGCACTGTATACATGGATGATGTGCGTTTGATTTGCACTGTTTACTTGGATGACGTTTGTTTTATTTGCACTGTTTACTTGGATGACGTGTGTTTTATTTGCACTGTTTACTTGGATGACGTTTGTTTTATTTGCACTGTTTACTTGGATGATGTGCATTTTATTTGCACTGTTTACTTGGATGATGTGCGTTTTATTTGCACTGTTTACTTGGATGACGTGTGTTTTATTTGCACTGTTTACTTGGATGATGTGCATTTTATTTGCACTGTTTACTTGGATAACGTTTGTTTATTTGCACTGTTTACTTGGATGATGTGCGTTTTATTTGCACTGTTTACTTGGATGATGTGTGTTTTATTTGCACTGTTTACTTGGATGACGTGTGTTTTATTTGCACTGTTTACTTGGATGATATGCGTTTTATTTGCACTGTTTACTTGGATGACGTGTGTTTTATTTGCACTGTTTACTTGGATGATCTGCATTTTATTTGCACTGTTTACTTGGATGATGTGCGTTTTATTTGCACGGTTTACTTGGATGACGTGTGTTTTATTTGCACTGTTTACTTGGATGATGTGCGTTTTATTTGCACTGTTTACTTGGATGATGTGTGTTTTATTTGCACTGTTTACTTGGATGACGTGTGTTTTATTTGCACTGTTTACTTGGATGATGTGTGTTTGATGTTTTATTTGCTCTGTATACAAAGATTCACTATGTTATATCACAGGTCCGGTTCTTCGTACCCAGCACAAACTATGAGACGTACAATGGCTGTGAGGCGCAGGTAATGCTCAGGACACCATCCTCCTTTCTTTAGGGAATTATATTGCCTATCATACTGTTATTAATACCCTGCCACCATAGCTCATGTTTTTCACAAACCTATCACAGAATTTTGCTCACTCTTGAGTTTGAAATCAACAACCAATCAAATGCCTCTCCTAAATGGGAGTGTGGCATAGATCTATGTTTAAAAATCACAGCATCTTACGAGCAAGCCATCGAAATATTTAATCAAATCAGAAGACTGTTATTAATATATAGCTTGAAAAGATGTTTTCCTGAATATGTTAAGATGGGGGAGAGGGAGGTTCTTATGTCTCCAAGTGTATTTTGTATTTGTGACTGTTGGCAACAAGGCAAGTCATTCAAAGCAAATTAAAAAAAAAGTCATGGTAGTGGAATGGTCCAGGGCTATTATCACAATAGCCGGGGCAGTCGGGTAGCCAAGTGGTTAAAGCGTTTGCTTGTCTTGCTGAAGACCCAGGTTCGATTCCCGACATTGGTACATTGTGTGAAGCCCATTTCTAGTGCCGTGATATTGATAGAATATTGCTAAAAGCAGCGTAAAACTATACTCACTCACTCACTTTAATCAGATATCAGGGTTTTACGAGACACACAAGTTTGTGTCCAGTACGCACTAATGTAGAGAATGGACGCGGGAAAGGAATATACTGAATCCTGAGGGATGCACAAACCATACTCACTCACTCACCCACTACAGCTGGCGGTGATATTGGTTACAGAATTACATGAACATTGTTCAAAATAAACTATGAAAGTTAAAGACTTGGGCGGTCTCTTGTTTCAACTACCATAAGAGAAGACGTCAAGGACTCGCAAGACTCCCATTAATTTTGAATGTAGATAAATAATTACGATATAAATCTCATAAATAGATACTTATGGCTGTCTCTGTGCCACTAAATGATAGTCACCTAGTTGATTGTGGGTCAGTGTTAGGCATGGGTTGTTGCTTGTTCTACAAGGCGGCCCGGAAATGGCTGGACTGTCTCTGTGGTCTAGTGGATAGAGCGTCTGCCCAGAGACCAAAAGGTCAGTGGGTTGATCCCGGCCGTGTCGTACCAAAAGACATTAAAATATGGTACTTATTTTTTCCCAGACTGGTGCTCGGCATTAATGGGATAAATCACGTTCTGGTCAGCTCGGAGTCAGTACACTGTGTCCGAGTCGAGTATCCTTGTTAAACTGCGGCATGGTATCTCAGTAGGCTAGCACTATAAAACCAGCATAAGTCTGGACTAGTACAAGCAGACACATGCACATTGCCATATAAGTGCAATAATCTTGAACGCGACATGTACTGTGACCAGTTGTTCTATAAGCAACAAAGCACCGACATCACTTTATATTTCTGTTGGTGGCGATTTAGTGGTGATGGTAGAATGGTAAAAAGGCTGAAAAATACAAATAAAGCCTAATTAAGTCTATTGTTATAACTTGAAAGTTACATCTCTTTATAATTATTTTGGAACAAAACCATCTTGAGCAAGTGTTCTTTGATACTTTACTATCTAGTGTTAACAATGACGAGGTAGGTACACAGATATTTTACGACACTTCACTCACTTCAACTTCGATAGAGCAACAACAAAACTTTGAGAAAACTAAACACATTTGGCGTTAAGAGCATTTTCCATGCTTACAAATATTATCAGGGAACACAAATGATTGTACTTACACTGGGGACTGTATAAAAGGAGTTGAATTCTGTAGTCATAGCTTAAGAAATAGCAGTCAAACACAACATGCTTTAAGCGTGAAAACGCAAATCTTATCTCTTTCGACGGGAGAGCTTACAAAGGGAAGTAAATTGTGACTGCCCAAATTTGAAGCATGAGTGACAGAACACGACATTAAACCCCATTAAATCTCACCTCAAATGGCCGTGATATTGCTTACTGATGCTTCAAACAAAAGACTTGATACATGATATTATTATGAATCTTTGTTATAGATGTGGCTGTCCCATCAACAACCTACAACCCTGGATAGTCATGTCAAGTTCTGTAGCGAGAGCTCAGTGTTTGGTCATAGATCTGTCAAACAGAAGAAGGTATGTACAATATGTGAAAATTGTAACTCTCCATTGTGGCTTCAAGGCCCTGATACTGATCCTTGTTGTGTGAACTCTGTGCCATGCATGTGGGTTTTGCCATGGGACCATCTTCCCGAGGCAAGGGCATTAACTATAAAAGTCCAGTTTCCACCCTTGCCGAACTAGGCTGGAATTTCCAGGCTCGATCATAGCAGTATCAGTGGCTATTATGAGTTATGTCCCTTCTATGTTCCTCCAATCAGATTCCTTCTCTCATATCACTTACATTTGCTTCAAACATAATGGCGGCACCCAGTCAAGAAGATCTGCTCAATAATCAAGATCTATATTGTAATAAAACAGGTCTTACCCCGTGAAGTGCATCAAATCACGTGAGCACCTTGATTAAAAGCATGAAACAATTTGCAAAATATCTGTCAAGGCTCAGTTGCCAGAACACATGCTTTACAAATCCTGCAGTTGACCAAAATCTGCATTGAAAATCCATTTTGCTTCATCTTCCCGAGGCAAGAGAGTTAACTGACTTTAAAAGTCCAGTTTCCACCCTTGCCGAACTAGGCTGGAATTCCTGGGCTTGATCTTAGTGCCACCTGTGGCTGTGACGATTTATGTTCCTTCTATGCCTCTCCTATGGACCAATCAGATTCCATCTCTCGTATCACTTGCATTTGCTTCAAACAAAATGGCGGCTCCCAGTCAAGACGATCTGATCGACAATCAAGATCTATGTTGATATAAAACAGCTCTTACATCGCAAAGTGCATCAAATCATGTGAGCACCTTGATTAAAAACTTGAAAAGATAGGGAAAATATCTGTTCACAACAACTTGGCGGTGCACATGCTGTGCAAATCCTGCAATTGACCGAACTCTGCATGACAGTTTACGAACCGGATTTCGATTTCGGTGCGCAATTTTGATTGGACTATGCATATACTCGTTAGTCCAGCCAAAATGTAACTCCATAATACCAGCATAGTTCGGCAAGGGTGGAAACTGGACTTTCATAGTCAGTTAACTCTCTTGCCTCGGGAAGATGATTTTGCTTAGGAACCGGATGTCTTGTTCGTTATGCGATTTTGATTGGACTATGTATCGACTCGTTAGTCCAAGTAAAATGTAACCTCATGATTGCAGCCTAGGTGGCAATGTGGACAGTGGACTTTTATAGTCAGTTATCTCCCTTGCCCAGGGAAGAAGCCAAGGGGGTAGATCTGAGACACTCTGGCTGGACTGCAAAGTGGCATCTGACCTAATCACTCCATCATCTCTCTTGTTCATAAACACTCAGACCTTTTACTAAGACGCGATACCTCTCTAGGTGAAGATAAGACAACCCTATATTGGGTGATTCATTTGCTTTTGTTCTTACAATGTTGGTGGTCCAAAAAACATTTAAATCTCGACTGTACTCATGAGTCAAATGAATGCGCCATTTTCCCACCTATTGACTGCACAACCGGATATGTCATATCTAAGGTTTGTAATTCATATCGGTCTACATCATTTCAAACTTTGTGATGAACACTTTGCAATGAAACCTCTTTTCAGAACAAACTGATTGGTGTGATTTTTATGGTGTGATGTAGCATGAGAGTCAGCTGAATTAAAAACAAATCAGAAAAGTCATTTTAATTATATTTTCATTTTGCAATTTTTCATCTCCATGAATCCATTAACCTACACACAAAAATTAATTGCCTAGGAGGTCATGTCTAAGGGAACTGTGACTACCGAATCAAAATGAAGGTTGCATTGGTTCTTGAGCCAATCAGAGGTCAGCTTTCTAAAACAATTCAGAGTCATTTCCTTATCCCCTCAATTCGGACATTTTGATGTTCACAAAAGAAAACTCACACATTACACCAAAATTCCTCTGATGGTACTCCCTTTTGGGTGTAGATGTCCTGGCATTCGGAAAAAACAGGATGTATAAAATATCCACAATATTATGCTGCAGCCATTATTATCTACATTTGGAACAGGCCATTTAACTTCATTTTCAAGATATGGAAATCAGATATGCTGGTCTGAATGCTTGCTCACTTGTACTGAGAATTTAGAAGCATTGACACTGATTGGCTGATGAGAAAGTTCACCTGACACGACATCCTATGTCGTCAGATCTACACGCGGAGAATGTAATAGATCTAATATCTCGAGATAGATTGAGAGATAGATAGTGATCAAGAGTGCTACTAACAAATTGTATACTGATGTAACAGACAAAATGACCCCATTCACTCTGTCATTTTCTTTTCTTGAAGTACTTACAACCAAGACCAAATATTTCTGTCCTGATGTTTGGAAAACCGATAATTTGTTATAATAATAACCATTTTGTTTTCTGTGTTGTCAGCTGAACATCAACATGGAGCAGGCGGAGTCTCTGTACACGCAGCTGGAGTCTCTGGAGGGGGAGTTCCGACAACAACACCACAAATCTGGACAATAGCACAACACATCTTCACAACACCACAAATCTGGACAATAGCACAACACATCTTCACAATACCACAAATTATGTGGACGAAACCATGACATCTAGACAATAGATGGAGCTACCTCATATTCATACCTAAGGGTTTGATGACATCTTATTACGTCATCGTCTCCTTGTCCGAGGCACCCAATCTACCATCATAGTGAACACTTAAGTATAATTATTTTACAAAATGTTATTGTTAATTATTCTTGAAAGTAATTACCTGCCCTAATGTCAAGGTTGTAAACAACATTGTGTGCTATCCCCTGGCTGTCCCCCTTCAACCAGTCACTGACAACTCCCCAATAAATTGTTTGTCTAAACTTTGATGACAGCCAACCGTAACAAGTGTCATGTATTAGTATGAATTGTGTACCGCTAACTTGTAACTATTTTTCATGTATTAATTCTTTAACCAATGACAATTAAGAAGGAGATTTAGTAAGTCGCAATTTATGTATTGACACTGACTTACTGGGTGTAAGAGACAGGGAGGTGAACGGCCTGATGAAGGGGCAAGAAGAGCCTGTTAGCATCACCTACATCGCCCACTACCCTCCTCCAAGTGATGACAGTGACTTACTGGGTGTACGAGGACGAGGATGACCACAGCTTTGTGGAGGACAGGGAGGTGAACGGCCTGATGAAGGGGCAAGAAGTAGCCTGTTAGCATCACCTACATCGCCCACTACCCTCCTCCAAGTGATGACAGTGACTTACTGGGTGTACGAGGACGAGGATGACCACAGTTTTGTGGAGGACAGGGAGGTGAATGGCCTGATGAAGGGGCAAGAAGCAGCCTGTTAGCATCACCTACATCGACCACTATCCTCCTCCAAGTGATGACAGTGACTTACTGGGTGTAAGAGACAGGGAGGTGAACGGCCTGATGAAGGGGCAAGAAGCAGTCTGTTAGCATCACCTACATCGACCACTACCCTCCTCCAAGTGATGACAGTGACTTACTGGGTGTACGAGGACGAGGATGACCACAGTTTTGTGGAGGACAGGGAGGTGAATGGCCTGATGAAGGGGCAAGAAGTAGCCTGTTAGCATCACCTACATCGCCCACTACCCTCCTCCAAGTGATGACACTGACAGTGACTTACTGGTGTACGAGGACGAGGATGACCACAGCTTTGTGGAGGACAGGGAGGTGAACATCCTGATGAAGGGGCAAGAAGCAGCCTGTTAGCATCACCTGCATCGCCCACTATCCTCCTCCAAGTGATGACACTGACTTACTGGGTGTACGAGGACGAGGATGACCACAGTTTTGTGGAGGACAGGGAGGTGAATGGCCTGATGAAGGGGCAAGAAGTAGCCTGTTAGCATCACCTACATCGCCCACTACCCTCCTCCAAGTGATGACACTGACAGTGACTTACTGGTGTACGAGGACGAGGATGACCACAGCTTTGTGGAGGACAGGGAGGTGAACATCCTGATGAAGGGGCAAGAAGCAGCCTGTTAGCATCACCTACATCGCCCACTACCCTCCTCCAAGTGATGACACTGACAGTGACTTACTGGTGTACGAGGACGAGGATGACCACAGCTTTGTGGAGGACAGAGAGGTGAACATCCTGATGAAGGGGCAAGAAGCAGCCTGTTAGCATCACCTACATCGCCCACTACCCTCCTCCAAGTGATGACAATGACAGTGACTTACTGGGTGTACGAGGACGAGGATGACCACAGTTTTGTGGAGGACAGAGAGGTGAACATCCTGATGAAGGGGCAAGAAGCAGCCTGTTAGCATCACCTGCATCGCCCACTACCCTCCTCCAAGTGATGACAATGACACTGACTTACTGGGTGTACGAGGATGAGGATGACCACAGCTTTGTGGAGGACAGATGAAGGGGGAAGTAGCCCTGAAATGTCGTTACAAAGAGTGAAGCAGTTGTTATCCATAAAAATGTCATGCCTATATGTTCTTCCTTCGTTTAAATTCCTCTCAAAGACCACACACGGGTTAGACATTTCCTCATAAGATGTGTTTACACTCAATGAAGAAACATATTTTTAGTGTTTGAAAGCAATATCCTGAATGAAGCACCTCATCTCAGTTGTCAGGATTCACTTCAAGCATTTTAATAAAAGAATAATGTTATTTTTGTGTTTTGATTTGACAAGATGTTATGGGCGTTCAGGTAGCCTAGTGGTTACCGGGTTCGATTCCCGACTTGGGTACAATGTGTGAAGCCCATTACTGGGGTTCCCCGCCTTGATATTGCTGAAATATTGCTAAAAGCGGTGTAAATATCAAACTCACTCACTGACAAGATGTTAATACTGATATAAAGAGGAAATATTAGTCTTTGCTTTTCACTTTTTCAGTACACTATTAGTGGGAAGGGGTTGGGGTGTAGTTAGGTTATTTGATTACCCAGTGTATCATGTCTCCACTGTATTGTGACAAACACCCTGGCCCTGTCCCTGTCCCCTACCAGGGTGTTGTTTTGAGGCAGATTCAAATGTCACCATGCTGAAACCAGTCGTATGTAATATATGATTAAATTATTCCCATGAGCAAGAGTAACTCTTGCAAAGTGAGTTAGTGAGTGAAGATTACGTCACATCACCAATATTTCAGCTATTTCGTCATGAGACAATTTGTACCTTAATAATAAATACATTTTGACTATATAAAACCACGGACTTGTGTATAGGTCCGTGATTAAACCTGTCAACAATGCCAAGTTAGAGATTGGCGTGATGCTGGTGGTGAGGTCACTTCTGAAACGAAGCTAATGTGTCCATGGTATTTGTTGTGATGGAAGACAACCGAGGATGGGTCATTGAGCCTCGACTATCATTGTTATAGTGTTTGTCTGTTGTAATATGCCAGCTATGTGACGGCGATCTGTAAATAATTGAGTGGAACAGACATTCCGTTAATTGAGTGGAACAGACATTCCGTTAATTGACATCATGAACATCGCTCTACACAATTGGAATACGATGACATGCACCATGCAAGTTGTCGAGCCTGATCCTATTAGTTGTGTTATGGAGTGGATCCTATTTTGGTCCACATCCTATGAAGTGGTTTTATGCCGCTTTTTGCAATATTCCAGCAGTATCACGGCCGGGGACACCAGAAATGGGCTTCACACATTGTACCCATTCGAACACAGGCTTTCGGCGTGACGAGCGAACGCTTTAACCACTAGGCTACCCGACCACCCCAAGTTGTGTTTAAAGCATTCATAGATATATCGGGTGTGTTGTATTAGAATGTTGACAAAGTAAGTGAACGTTGTTTCCTGACAGTTCAATCATCACACATGGGGCAATTGTATGTTGGCGATCTTTACGTTTGCGGTGGTGTTGTGCCAGTGATCACCAGGTGGACATTTATGGCAATGTGTGAACTGATATTCAGCATACTGATGTCCTGATGGCAGGAACTGGGGTAAATGGTGCAAAGAACTTACCTAGGGTGCTGGGGATCTGCTCTGCTGAAGATGTGAGACAAGCATATCGTGCAAAGGACTAACTCCACACTGACACTTCGTGTGCTAGAAATCTGCTCTGCCCCAGAATCCCCACAGGGAGACAAGCAAATGGTGCCAAGGACTTATCCAGGCACACAAATCTATGGTGCTGGGGACATTCCAATACCGGAATCCTCATGGGAGACAAGCATATCGTGCAAAGGACTAACTCCGCACTGACACCTCGTGTGCTAGAAATCCCTGCCCCAGAATCCCCACAGGAAGACAAGCATATGGTATCAAGAACTTAACCAGGCACACAAACCTAGGGTGCCTGGGACCCTCCAACCCCAGAATTCCACGGGGGTACAAGCATATGGTGTCACGGACTTATCCAGACACACAAACCTAGGGTGCCAGGGACCCTCCAACCCCAGAATTCCACGGGGGTACAAGCATAGTTTGCTGAAAGCCCACAGAGACAACAAACATCTGTACTGTTTTAAATGTTTATTGTATTCTTTACAAATCTTCAATCATAATTTACCTCAAAATGAAACAAAACAATCTGGCATTCTTAGAATGCAAACAGTTCTGGCGACTATGACAAGGAGATAGAAATGTCTGATGAAACGGTATATGTACAAATATTACAGACAAGGATATGTTAAGGGTGACATAGCCCACACAAAACCTTAAAATAACAATCTACTTTTCTATATCATTTTACAAAAGTACTAAATTACTGCTTCTGTTGACAAAGTCAGCGGTAGAAACTAACAGTTTTAGTCCACTAGTCCTTATAATGATAACATATAGCAAAACCCTTAAAAATGGCAAATTTCTGCTAGTCCTTAGGATACCTTAACTATTGGGCAGTTTGCAAGGATTATAGGATTAGTGCCAATTTCTACCACTGAAAGTAGTGGTCAGGGATATAGCGACATTCACTTCACCATCAGCCTGCTCCCAAATGTAGTGTAAGTCAGCCATTTTAAAATTACTCACAACAAGAGAACCATGGATGACACATCCACAAGATGGAGTTGTCCGTCACCAACATGTGCTGTTTCTGTGTCTCACTCAGGTTTATTGTGTACTAGACAGGAGGGGGGTATTTGGGGAGGGGTGATACTTACATCATAATGGTATTAGCATGGTGTCAACATTTAGTACCCCTTCTCCAAACTTGTTCGACATGGAATAGTTTAATTAACATAAATTTCTATTTTTACAACTGTAGCTGATAAAATACCTGGTCTCACTACAATATAAAATCACAGCCCCCCCTCCACCCTTTCCCCCCAAGATTACAAATGGCCAGTCCCTAAATGTCCTCAGAGATCGGTAAATATGAGGCTGTTTGGTGTATAAATTTTTTATCTGACATCTGTCAGTTCAAACTGGCCTGATCTTTTCACGGGTAAGGCCTTACTATTCACTGGTAAGGCCTTACTATTGTTTTGCTTGGTTAATAGATCCACCGACCTTGAATTGATAAAATTTAAGAGAATAAAAATCTGAATGAATAGGGTTTTTTTTGTTAATATTGCCAAGAGGAAAGACCACTTTGGCAATAAAAATGACAATGAAATGCTGTATCAGATTTTAGACTTTAAATATACTACTTCATCTTTGATAGAGATATTTATATCTTTCCTTAATTCAAAATACTTATTCTCATCTGTAAAGTGTATAAAAATATATATATCTGACATATCTCAGAGTTTTACCTTGACTTACAAAAGTGGAGGTCCAGGGGACCCCGATAATTCATATTCTTATGCAGGCAACATGAGAGTCCTGTAGAGTAATGAAATGGTGTAGTGTACTGTACGTTAAGATCAATTCTTTAGAGCCTGGAATGAATCAATGATCATGTGGACAGTGGTCATGATTGATGGATGAAATAACAGACACCCATAAGTGCTCTTTATATGCTGTAGGTACCATGAACATCAAATATGGTGTAGGGATGTCACGATACAGGTGTGACATGATACGATACATATCTTGATACAGAAGCGAGGATACGATACATATCCCGATACTGCATGTACAACATTTTGTGCGGAAAACCCATGCATTGCTCATAAAGGTAAAGGACAACTGACACCCATCGACAAGACACTGAGTCAACTATTCTGTATGTAATAAAATAAATATATAAACAGGTTTAGGTACTGTATTACGACAGAGAGCAAGGTAAAGCTGGTCAGTCTTGTTATCAGGACAGTTTCGTATCCGAAGACCAAGAAAGTTATGAGGAATATAAACAATAACATAATTTGTACTTGCCCATTGATATCAATGCGTGATCAACATGAACAATCGCTACATAATATGGGGTTCAATGTGAATCAATGCCAAATTAAGTGTATTGTGTCATGCAAAGTTTGCCAACAATGCACTGGTGTAGCGGTGAATCACGACATCACTAATATTGTGCATCCCTCAGGATTAAGTATATCCATTTCCTGCGTCCATTCTCTACATTAGTGCAAACTGGACACAAACTTGTGTGTCTCGTAAAACCCTTATATCTGATTAAAGTGAGTGAGTGAGTATAGTTTACACCGCTTTTAGCAATATTCCAGCAATATCATGGCGGGGGGACACCAGAAATGGGCTTCACACATTGTACCCATGTCGGAAATCAAATCCAGGTCTTCGGCATGGCAAGCGAACGCTTTAATCACTAGGCTACCCGACCGCCCCTTGATATCTGATTAAAAGTTGTGCAGTATATTAATGAGTACCCAAACCAGGCCAAAGATTAATTAAATCTTTCTATCACTTACTGATCCAAATCAAACTTTAAGATGATTAAAAATTATCCATAAGCCCTCAAAAGGTCTGGTCTCATCGGTGAGATCATGTCACTAGAAACATAATGGTTGTCATGCAAGTCTCCGGATACACTTCATTTCAAGAACAGGTAAATAAAACATATAAACTACAGTGAACATTATCAATTCGATTAACCATAGCATTATAGAAAAAGCATCAAATTATCCACCAAAGACTGTAGAAACTAACTACTGTAACTCTTAACTGTTTCACCTTTTGCAATTTGTATATTTATTCTCACCTTCCACCATTCCTATATAACTGTCCTACTCAAAAATTAAAAAAGTATTTTCCTTTAACCATCTTATACAACAGACAGCTGTGTTCTCAGCCAAACACAGGACCTAGTTTGTTTTGTTTATATTTTCAGCTCCCAAAACCAGCTCCCTCTGATGATGACAAATATGATGAGAAACATATGATGACCTTATCAAATATCTCAGGACGGTTAGGTGTAAGTCGTCAGCAACTATGCAGAAACAAAAACATGCTGTAAACAGACTATGGAGATTGTATTTACTGGCCGGGTGTACAGAGGGATGAATCTATTAATATTATAAAATGAAACACAAATAGTACTTTCTGTTCATAATGTAAAAAAATTCTACCTATTTACAACTTGAAAACATAGAATTTTCACATTAATCAGTTACAATATCTAATAAAACATGACACCAGAGATCAAACTACAATTCTAAGATCCATCTTTATCGGCTTACAATGTTTGTATTTGTAAGTTTAGTTGATCCATTTAGTCGCTGGGGACTTGCTGGGGACCTATTCCAACCCCAAAACCCAATAAGGCAAACGTTAACTTGACATCTCCCTCCATGTTTGTTTGTTTGTTTGTTTGTTGTTTAACGCCCCACTCGGCAAAATTCCAGCATATGACGGTGGTCTGTAAATAATCGAGTCAGAACCAGGCAATCCAGTGATTGACATCATGAGCATCGATCCACACAATTGGGATCGATGACATGCATCAACCAAGTCAGCGAGCCTGACCACCCGATCCCCTAAGTCACCTCTTACGACAAGCATAGTCACCTTAACGGCATCTACCTCCACATAGTTACTGAAAAAAGGGTATTGCTCCTTCAGTCAGAGGTCTCATCTCAATCAGGTCCACTGTTTCCATGGCGTCCAAATGAACCTTTAGACTCTCAGGCCTGGAGTTATCAATATAACAGGAAGAGGAACAAGAGAAGCCAAATTCAGTTTCATGTGTTTTGTCCATTCAAGGAAAGAGTTGGCCAACAGTCCGGTGGTAAAAGTCTATCATGGAAGTACTGTCCCTGATGAACACACACTCCAAGCGGGCACTCCTTGATGTCAGTGTTTACTATGGAACCCTACAAACATACTCGAAACATACAGAAACTTAGGACTTCTTTTATCTGGCTCTATTATCAAACTACAGACTGTCCGAGGATGAATGCAGACCATCCTCGGTTATCCAGGGTCGTATATCTCCATTCTAATATGTTATTGTGATGTCACTAGCCCTAGGCTGTATCCATCCTGTTACCAGGGTAGCCCATTCTGTTGTAAGGTGTGGTGAGGTGAAATGGGGTTTAACGTCACATCCAAGTTTATTGCCCTTATATAGCGACGTGCATGTATGTGTGTGTGTTTGTGTGGCTGCTTGTACTAGTCCGGACTGATGCCGATTTATAGTGCTAGCTCACTGAGATACCATGCCGCAGTTTAACATGAATACCCCACTCAGACACAGTATACTGTTTCCGAGCCGACCAGTCCTTGTTTTAGCCGCTTAATGCCGAGCGCCAGACAGGGTAACAACAAGTACCATCTTTTAACGTCTTTTGGTATCTGGGTCTGGGTCTGTTGTGAGAAGATCCTTGACCCTTTCACCTCGACAGCTTGGTGTTGTATCCATTTGGAATGAGTGAGTGAGTGAGTTGGGTTTAAAGCCGCTTTGAACAGTATTCCAGTTATATCACGGCGTGTCAGCTTAATGCGGGAGGAAAGCCGGAAGTGATGCAGGTCTTGGACATTTACCACTTTGGGGAAACCCACGAACACGGGTATGGTGCGGACAAACCCAGAAACATAATCAGGGGAATCAGAATTCGAACCCGAGATCATAGGTTTCTTGCATGCCCAAGGGATGCAACTCTGCACATCAATTTCATTGCTTCAGACGACTGGGCCACCCATGCCCCTGGAATGAAATGACTTTGAAAAAGGCCATCTAATTGTAGCAGGGCGTGGAGTCATCCCACAGATGACATCCTTACCTTGTCAGCTTGCTGACGGGGTTAACCTCTTTGGTCATGTGGACAAGGCGTCCGACCTCGGATCAGAAGGTCCTTGGTTCGAATCCCATCACGGGACTCAGAATTTTTATGGCCGCTACATAATCAAAGTACACTATTCTTTTACGATTGAAATACGCAGTAATGTGATCCATACTCGACTCACTCTGGTCGTTACCTTCTCAAATACAGCATTTTGATTGGTTGTTATTTCAAACTATCAAGTGAGCACAGAGACCACATACCAGTCTGGTGAAAGTAGTTCTGTGCAAAAATAGTGATACGAGAGATATGGCTAGTGACATCACAATAATATAATAGAATGGAGAGATACTACCCTGGATAATCGAGGACGGTCTGCATTCAGTCCTCGGACATACTGTTTCTTCACGTGGACCTATGGTCTTAGATGACTTGCATGAGACACAAAAATGTCACCGCCTGAAAATTGGAAGCTCTTACAAGTAAGGTGAACAGAATTCAGTTTGTATGCACCTGACCTGACCAGATTAACATGGATTGAGAATGATACAACTTTTGCATTCAAAACAATTGTTGCTATTATCCAATATGTGTGGGCATTATAGTCAAATATATGTCAGGAAGGAAAAAATTCATTTGAGGGAAGGGAGACAACTCTATGCTGACATATGGACAAATCTTGTTAAAAAATATTGATGTCAATTCATGGTAACAATTTCCTATGAAACTATAAAATGCATGAAATACCAAATTTTGCACCTCCCTCCGCCTGACCACACACAATGAATACCTGCACTAATCGCTCATTGCCATGAATACCTACACTAATCACCCAGTGCCATGAATACCTACACTAATCACCCAGTGCCATGAATACCTACACTATGAGCACCATGTATACAGTCATCCCTCGTGGCTCATGGACACCCGCCCACCTTATCAGACACCGACCTTACTCTCACCAAATAATCCCAATCAGCATACAAATCATGGGAGTGATTGATTATCCCAAGGTTTAAGCAGAACAGCGGTATTGTGAAGAGAGTAAGACAGAGGGACGACTGTAACAAACCAGTTGCTCATATCCCTCAGGTCCCTATATGGCTGAAATAATGCTGACGCAACGTTAAATTTTAACTCGCTCACACTCCCTCCTATCTTGTGTATGTACACGTCTTACACAACCGGTATCCTTAATGTCTCTCTCCTGTGTTGGTATATGATGTCTTTGCCGCCATGTCGTTTTTGACAATTTCGACTCTGGACACAAGCAGCAAGACAACATATCTGTTCTGTGTCAGCTAGCGTATCATCACCTAGTTTCATGCATAACTACCAGTGCAATCCTACTGTTAAAAGATGGGTATATTACTCAACACTTGCTAAGCACCACACCTTTGACTTAAGATGACTATTTTGGTCCCTAGCAAATGTTGAATAGTATATAAACATGACCATAATCTAAATACACTTCGTCAAATAACTCAGTAACCATGGGAACAATATTCAAAAAAATCTTGCTGATGGCTGGTCGTCAATCCTTGCAGATGGGGGACTTAATCCTTGCTGAACAAGCACCTTCATACATATATCTCCCAGGAATTTCATCCCGCAAACTGGTCTGGGAAATTCAAACAACCACAGGCACTTCAGCATTGTCATATCTTCAAACAATTTTCAAAAAAATCACAAAAAGATCACATTCACAAACAGCCAGATGGTAGTGCAAAGATGAACAATGTCAGGATGACAGCATCCCAGATCTCCACATCACCTAATGCCACTGATCTCATGACGCAGGAGAAAACAGTCAAGTACTCTCGACATAATACCTGATCCATAACCCTGGATGGATCTGCAGATAAACAACTGCTGCACAGGATCAAGAGCAGGCAGCACAGTAATACTACCACTGTCAGTCAACAACACAGGTGCACAGGTACACAGGTATCCCATCATTCCCAGCGAGTCTTCTTCCTCCGGGTCTGCGGTTGTTGAATTCCTCCCTTGATTCCGTGGACGACTGATGGGACACCCTCCTCTGTGGCAGCGGTGAAGTTGGCCTTGAACTGAGCCTGAAATATATAGAGGTGACTCTGAGGAGCAACAGGGGCTGTGAGGAGAGGCAGGAGCTACTTACAGCAAAGGCTGTCTTCATGGAGGTGGGAGATCTAGATACAGGCAGGAGCTACTTAGAGGGACTGTGAGGTGAGGCAGGGGCTGTGAGGAGAGGCAGGGACTGTGAGGAGAGGTAGGGACTGTGAGGAGAGGCAGGGACTGTGAGGAGAGGTAGGGGCTATGAGGAGAGGTAGGGACTGTGAGGATAGGCAGGGACTGTGAGGAGAGGCAGGGACTGTGAGGAGAGGCAGGGGCTGTGAGGAGAGGCAGGGACTGTGAGGAGAGGTAGGGGCTGTGAGGAGTGGCAGGGACTGTGAGGAGAGGTAGGGTCTGTGAGGAGAGGTAGGGACTGTGAGGAGAGGTAGGGGCTATGAGGAGAGGCAGGGACTGTGAGGAGAGGCAGGGACTGTGAGGAGTGGCAGGGGCTGTGAGGAGAGGCAGGGATTGTGAGGATACGCAGGGGCTATGAGGAGAGGCAGGGGCTGTGAGGAGTGGCAGGGACTGAGGAGAGGTAGGGGCTGTGAGGAGAGGCAGGGACTGTGAGGAGAGGCAGGGATTGTGAGGAGAGGTAGGGGCTATGAGGAGAGGCAGGGACTGTGAGGAGAGGCAGGGACTGTGAGGAGTGGCAGGGACTGAGGAGAGGCAGGGACTGTGAGGTGAGGCAGGGGCTGTGAGGAGTGGCAGGGGCTTTGAGGAGAGGCAGGGACTGTGAGGAGAGGTAGGGACTGTGAGGAGAGGCTGGGGCTGAGGAGAGGCAGGGACTGTGAGGAGAGGCAGGGATTGTGAGGAGAGGCAGGGATTGTGAGGATACGCAGGGGCTGTGAGGAGTGGCAGGGGCTGTTAGGAGTGGCAGGGACTGAGGAGAGGCAGGGACTGTGAGGTGAGGCAGGGGCTGTGAGGAGAGGCAGGGGCTGTGAGGAGAGGCAGGGACTGTGAGGAGAGGTAGGGACTGTGAGGAGAGGCTGGGACTGTGAGGAGAGGCAGGGACTGTGAGGAGTGGCAGGGACTGTGAGGAGAGGCAGGGACTGTGAGGAGAGGTAGGGACTGTGAGGAGAGGTAGGGTCTGTGAGGAGAGGTAGGGACTGTGAGGAGAGGTAGGGACTGTGAGGAGAGGCTGGGTCTGTGAGGAGAAGCAGGGACTGTGAGGAGAGGTAGGGTCTGTGAGGAGTGGCAGGGGCTGTGAGGAGAGGCAGGGACTGTGAGGAGAGGCAGGGGCTGTGAGGAGTGGCAGGGACTGTGAGGAGAGGTAGGGTCTGTGAGGAGAGGTAGGGACTGTGAGGAGAGGTAGGGGCTATGAGGAGAGGCAGGGACTGTGAGGAGAGGCAGGGACTGTGAGGAGTGGCAGGGGCTGTGAGGAGAGGCAGGGATTGTGAGGATACGCAGGGGCTGTGAGGAGTGGCAGGGGCTGTGAGGAGTGGCAGGGACTGAGGAGAGGCAGGGACTGTGAGGTGAGGCAGGGGCTGTGAGGAGTGGCAGGGGCTGTGAGGAGAGGCAGGGACTGTGAGGAGAGGTAGGGACTGTGAGGAGAGGTAGGGGCTGAGGAGAGGCAGGGACTGTGAGGAGAGGCAGGGATTGTGAGGAGAGGCAGGGATTGTGAGGATACGCAGGGGCTGTGAGGAGTGGCAGGGGCTGTGAGGAGTGGCAGGGACTGAGGAGAGGCAGGGACTGTGAGGTGAGGCAGGGGCTGTGAGGAGTGGCAGGGGCTGTGAGGAGAGGCAGGGACTGTGAGGAGAGGTAGGGACTGTGAGGAGAGGTAGGGGCTGAGGAGAGGCAGGGACTGTGAGGAGAGGCAGGGACTGTGAGGAGAGGCAGGGACTGTGAGGAGAGGCAGGGACTGTGAGGAGTGGCAGGGACTGTGAGGAGAGGCAGGGACTGTGAGGAGAGGCATGGACTGTGAGGAGAGGCAGGTCCTGTGAGGAGAGGCAGGGACTGTGAGGCTGTTTTCATGGAGGTCAGAGATCTAGATATAGGCAGGAGCTACTTACAGCGAAGGCTGTCTTCATGGAGGTCAGAGATCTAGATACTGGCAGGAGCTACTTACAGCGAAGGCTGTCTTCATGGAGGTCAGAGATCTAGATACTGGCAGGAGCTACTTACAGCGAAGGCTGTCTTCATGGAGGTCAGAGATCTAGATTGTGGCAGATGCTACTTACATCGAATGCTGTCTTCATGGAGGTCAGAGATCTAGATACTGGCAGGAGCTACTTACAGCGAAGGCTGTCTTCATGGAGGTCAGAGATCTAGATACAGGCAGGAGCTACTTACAGCGAATGCTGTCTTCATGGAGGTCAGAGATCTAGATACAGGCAGGAGCTACTTACAGCGAAGGCTGTCTTCATGGAGGTCAGAGATCTCGATACAGGCAGGAGCTACTTACAGCGAATGCTGTCTTCATGGAGGTCAGAGATCTAGAGACAGGCAGGAGCTACTTACAGCGAAGGCTGTCTTCATGGAGGTCAGAGATCTAGATACAGGCAGGAGCTACTTACAGCGAAGGCTGTCTTCATGGAGGTCAGAGATCTAGATACTGGCAGGAGCTACTTACAGCGAAGGCTGTCTTCATGGAGGTCAGAGATCTAGATACTGGCAGGAGCTACTTACAGCGAAGGCTGTCTTCATGGAGGTCAGAGATCTAGATACAGGCAGGAGCTACTTACAGCGAAGGCTGTCTTCATGGAGGTCAGAGATCTAGATACTGGCAGGAGCTAATTACAGCGAAGGCTGTCTTCATGGAGGTCAGAGATCTAGATACAGGCAGGAGCTACTTACAGCGAAGGCTGTCTTCATGGAGGTCAGAGATCTAGATACTGGCAGGAGCTACTTACAGCGAAGGCTGTCTTCATGGAGGTCAGAGATCTAGATACTGGCAGGAGCTACTTACAGCGAAGGCTGTCTTCATGGAGGTCAGAGACCTAGGTACAGACAGGAGCTACTTACAGCGAAGGCTGTCTTCATGGAGGTGAGAGATCTAGATACTGGCAGGAGCTACTTACAGCGAAGGCTGTCTTCATGGAGGTCAGAGATCTAGATACAGGCAGGAGCTACTTACAGCGAAGGCTGTCTTCATGGAGGTCAGAGACCTAGGTACAGGCAGGAGCTACTTACAGCGAAGGCTGTCTTCATGGAGGTCACAGATCTAGATGCTGGCAGGATCTACTTACAGCGAAGACTGTCTTCATGGAGGTGGGAGATCTAGATACAGGCAGGAGCTACTTACAGCGAAGGCTGTCTTCATGGAGGTGAGAGATCTAGATACTGGCAGGAGCTACTTACAGCGAAGGCTGTCTTCATGGAGGTCAGAGATCTAGATACTGGCAGGAGCTACTTACAGCGAAGGCTGTCTTCATGGAGGTGGGAGATCTAGATACTGGCAGGAGCTACTTACAGCGAAGGCTGTCTTCTTGGAGGTCAGAGATCTAGATACTGGCAGGAGCTACTTACAGCGAAGGCTGTCTTCATGGAGGTCAGAGATCTAGCTACAGGCAGGAGCTACTTACAGCAAAGGCTGTCTTCATGGAGGTCAGAGATCTAGATACTGGCAGGAGCTACTTACAGCGAAGGCTGTCTTCATGGAGGTCAGAGACCTAGGTACAGGCAGGAGCTACTTACAGCGAAGGCTGTCTTCATGGAGGTGAGAGATCTAGATACTGGCAGGAGCTACTTACAGCGAAGGCTGTCTTCATGGAGGTCAGAGATCTAGATACTGGCAGGAGCTACTTACAGCGAAGGCTGTCTTCATGGAGGTCAGAGATCTAGATACTGGCAGGAGCTACTTACAGCGAATGCTGTCTTCATGGAGGTCAGAGACCTAGATACAGGCAGGAGCTACTTACAGCAAAGGCTGTCTTCATGGAGGTCAGAGATCTAGATACTGGCAGGAGCTACTTACAGCGAAGGCTGTCTTCATGGAGGTGAGTCTGTCCCCCTGAGGTCCAGATGAACCCAAGCCCCGGTAACTGGAGAAACTTGTTGATTCCTGAACCCGAGTGCTCTGCCAACATAAGCAACAATAATGATAAACAAAGCTGTGATTCCAAACCTTCTGAGTCCTAATACTTTAAAACTGAGGGCAATGAGCAAAAAGAGGCTGACGAATATATAAACCCAATATTCCATCTATATGATGGTGGTCTGTAAATAATCGAGTCTTGACCAAACAATCCAATGACTGACATCATGAGCATTGATCCACGCAATTAGGATACGATGACATGAATCAACCAAGTCAGCGAGGCTGACCCACCGATCACGTTAGTCGCCTCTTACAACAAACATAGTCGCCTTTGCTGCAAGCTTGGGTTGCTGAAGACCTACTCTACCCCGGATCTTCACAGTCTCAATGTTTTCTGAATACTGATGTATGACAAGCATTTTACATACTGGTAATTTATTTTGACAGTATATTTAGTGTGCAATAGTACTGCCATTGATGGAAACTCTATTGAGATACTATGGGAACGGTGTCACAACATTTGTACCAGGGCTCATGCATACATTGTTGAGGATGACAGCTCAATAAGGAAACATTTGTTCTTTCTTGCACAAATCATAAGCCACAAATAAGCAAAGGTTTATCTATAATAAGCACCATCTTCCCAAGGAAAGTGAGATAACTGACTGAAAAAGTCCAATTTCCACCCTTGCTGAAATTTTGGAGTTATAATTTAGCTGGAATAACGCGTCTGTGCCTATTCCAATTAAAGTTGGGTAACGAAAACGACATTCTGTTCATAAACAACATTGCGACTGCCGTGCAGATTTCAATCAATTGCAGGTTTTGCAAAACATGTACCTTCAACTGAGCGTCAAAAGATCTTTTGCAAGTCTTTTCATATTTTTATTCAAACATGCCCAAATATGGTGCTGCAATCCATGAGGCAAGGAATGTGAAACTTTTCCTTGATTAACTTGATCAGATTGTCTTGAGTAGGAGCTACCATTTTGTATGAAGCAAATGCAAGTCAACATGAGAGGTAGAATCTGATTGCTCAATAGGAGGGACATAGAAGGGACATAACTCATAATAGCCACGAAATTCCAAGCTTAGTTCGGCAAGGGTGGCAATTTGACTTTTATAGTCAGTTCACTCCCTTGCTTCAGGAAGATAAGCACTAGCGTTAATTCGGGTTCTTTTCTTTTTCGAAAATGGTCTGGCCAAAGCAACACAGTGAATGTGTGAGGTTCTCTGCCACTTTATGCAATATTACAGCAATATCACAGCAAGGGACACCTGAACCTAGCCTCACATATTTAACCCATGTGGGATCCAACCCAGGCCTCCAGCATGATGGGCAAAAGCTTTAACCACCAGGCTGCCCCATCTCTGCAGCTCTAAGCAAGACACTATGTAGCATGTGGAAAAGAGACAACTACAAACATTTTCAGATCCCAGTCCCGGTCTTTCCTTGAAGCCGAGTCCTTTGCCGCCCATTCTCTTTCCCTGGCCCTTCTTGAAGCGATTCTTCTTGAACCACTGACACTGAAACACAATGGAAACAACATAGAAGTCACCCTGCCTTTGATACAAGTCACCGTTATGATGACACTAGAATTGCTACCTCCACAGACATCTTGCTGTCAGTGCACTTACTCTCTGAGGTGTCGGTTCACAACCCACTGGCATAAAGAGTTGGTTGGCTGGTTCCTTGTTGTTTAACGCCACACTCAGCAATATTCCAGCTACATGACAACGGTCTGTAAATAATCGAGTCTGGACCTGACAATCTAGTGAGTGACATCATGAGCATCGATCTACGCAATTTGGATACGATCACATGTATCAACCAAGTCCGAGAGCCTGAACACCCAATCCCATGAGTTGCCTTTTATGACAACCATGGATTGCTGAAGACCAATTCTAACCCAGACCTGCACAAGATCATGAAGTGGAGATGCATGGTGTGTCAAACTATCATGCAGTTTTGTTCATTCAGTTCAAAATCCTGGATCCGCCAGCTCAGCAACCTGTTTCTTGGAGTTTGTGGGTGTTTGTTGTTTAGCGCCGCACTCAGCAGTATTCCAGCTACATGATGGCAGCCTGTAATCAAGTCTGGACCAGACAATCCAGTGGTTGATATTGTGAGCAATGATCCATGCTGTCTGGGTACGATGACACGTCATAAACCAAATCTTACGACCACCATTGGTTGCTGGGCACCAATTCTTACCCACAATCCCCTTGGGAGGGAGGGAGGGAACTTGGGTGGTTGTTAGGGGTATTTGAATTATTGTAATAGTTTTGCTATAGTTAAAAGACACTAATGTACTACTAGTAATGCAATATTTCTACAGTATTGGAATACTCTACTGAGTACTGTTGCCTTGCCGTAATCGTATGCTCTAATTGTTTGTCGTTCAAGTATGCTGTAATTGTATGCCAATTAGTCTGCTGCGTCTGTATGCTGTAATTGTGTTCCATAATAGTATGCTGTATGTAACTGTATGCAGTAATAGTATGTTGCAATACTATGCTGTAATAGTAAGCTGTAATTGTATACTGACATCCATCAGTCTATAAGAAATGAGGGAAATATCACTGCATGTAAGGTATAGCCTGCAACATCAGCCATCTCTCTGTAGTCAAGCTGATATTTATGGAAAGACTAACCCTTGAATCACTGTTGCAGACAGATTCACCATTACGGACTATACCTGATTTGCGATATCCATGAGAGCTGACGGCACATTCTGATTGGCTCCTTCCAAGTTGCGGACGAGGTGGGGAGCGAATTCCTTGTCCTTCTCAGTGATCAATGTGTAAGCAAAGCCCTTCTCTCCTGCAACACAGAAAACAGGGTGACATCTACATTCCTTAGTGTGGTCTCTAATCAACCACCCCCTTCCTGTCTCCGTCCACCCACTCTACAACCACTGACATCTACATTCCTTAGTGTGGTCTCTAATCAACCACCCCCTTCCTGTCTCCGTCCACCCACTCTACAACCACTGACATCTACGTTCCTTAGTGTGGTCTCTAATCAACCACCCCCTTCCTGTCTCCGTCCACCCACTCTACAACCACTTATAGCTACAGACAAGCACCTGCTCTTCCAGTCTATCTACTCACTCTACAACCACTGCTACAGACAAGCACCTGCTCTTCCAGTCTATCTACTCACTCTACAACCACTGCTACAGACAAGCACCTGCTCTTTCAGTCTATCTACCCACTCTACAACCACTGATATCTACAGACAAGCACCTGCTCTTCCAGTCTGTCTACCCACTCTACAACCACTGCTACAGACAAGCACCTGCTCTTCCAGTCTATCTACCCACTCGACAACTACTGATATCTACAAACAAGCACCTGCTCTTCTAGTCTGTCTACCCACTCTACCACCACTGATATCTACAGACAAGCACCTGCTCTTTCAGTCTATCTACCCACTCTACAACCACTGCTACAGACAAGCACCTGCTCTTTCAGTCTATCTACCCACTCTACAACCACTGCTACAGACAAGCACCTGCTCTTCCAGTCTGTCTACCCACTCTACAACCACTGATATCTACAGACAAGCACCTGCTCTTTCAGTCTATCTACCCACTCTACAACCACTGCTACAGACAAGCACCTGCTCTTCCAGTCTGTCTACCCACTCTACAACCACTGCTACAGACAAGCACCTGCTCTTCCAGTCTATCTACCCACTCGACAACTACTGATATCTACAAACAAGCACCTGCACTTTCAGTCTATCTACCCACTCTACCACCACTGATATCTATAGACAAGCACATGCTCTTTCAGTCTATCTACCCACTCTACAACCACTGCTACAGACAAGCACCTGCTCTTCCAGTCTATCTACCCACTCTACAACCACTGATATCTACAAACAAGCACCTGCACTTTCAGTCTATCTACCCACTCTACAACCACTGCTACAGACAAGCACCTGCTCTTCCAGTCTATCTACCCACTCTACCACCACTGATATCTACAAACAAGCACCTGCTCTTTCAGTCTATCTACCCACTCTACAACCACTGCTACAGACAAGCACCTGCTCTTCCAGTCTATCTACCCACTCTACAACCACTGATATCTACAAACAAGCACCTGCACTTTCAGTCTATCTACCCACTCTACAACCACTGCTACAGACAAGCACCTGCTCTTCCAGTCTATCTACCCACTCTAACACCACTGATATCTACAAACAAGCACCTGCTCTTTCAGTCTATCTACCCACTCTACAACCACTGATATCTACAGACAAGCACCTGCTCTTCCAGTCTGTCTACCCACTCTACAACCACTGCTACAGACAAGCAACTGCTCTTCCAGTCTGTCTACCCACTCTACAACCACTGCTACAGACAAGCACCTGCTCTTCCAGTCTATCTACCCACTCTACCACCACTGATTTCTACAAACAAGCACCTGCTCTTCCAGTCCGGCCTATTCTGTGTGTGTGAGTGTCAATGTCTCTGGCGACATCGTAATTGACTACTGTCCGGATGTGGGGGATGTCGAGACCACGTGCAGCAACATCTGTGGCCACGAGTATGGGCATCTCCTTCTTCTTAAAGGCGGAGATGACATTATTCCTCTCTGTCTGGTCCATGTCTCCGTGAAGTAGACCAACTGAAACAATAAATTATTCATTCAGGACTGAATAAATCAATTATTACATTTTAATCCTTATCACATCATCTTATGAACCCCTACAAATAAAACAATTACTATGTTGCTGCCTTGTTTTTTAGTCCAACTAAACATTCTTCCTGTGAATCACATCTATGAACAGTTAAGGTTGCCTATGAATGTTCCTTTCACAAATGGCGAGGGTGTAGGTCGGTGTAACATATGCACGGGGCATTACGATGCTTCCTCCATTTATAGTTTGTTTTGGGAGATGCATTCGATGCAGATGACGCACTTGATGTTACTTGTGCAGGGGGTTACAGCTAAAGGAGATCTAAAAACTGACAAGAAGACAAAGTCATCCAGATCTTGTATGCTTACAATTGTAAATAAATTATCTTAAGTTTCTGTGAAAATGATGGGCACCGGTTCCCCAGTAGCCTGATAAGTTTGTAACAGTTTGTAACAGGAAACCTACCATTATTGGAACCAACATGTACCAGATTATTTCAAAACATCCTCCACAGCAAAAGGGTTAAGTTCAGCACTTGAAGGCTATGTATACATACTTTCACTGAGAAACACTGAACAGCTTCTTGTCAACTGATGGATGCACAGAGTCCATTTCTATGTCCCCTTTATTGACAACTTGAGATCCAAATGGGGGTGGCCCAATTGTCTAAGGCGCCGCAATTCGCTGTGCAGAGTTGCGTCCCTTGGACACGCAAGAAACCTATGATTGTGGGTTCGAATCCCGGTTAGGCCCGATTATGTTTCTAGGTTTATCAGCACCATACCCGTGCTCATGGGTTTCACCGAAGTGGTAAACGTCTGAGATCTGAATCACTTCGGGCTTTCTTCCCACATTAAGCTGACACGCCGTGATATAACTGTAATACTGTTAAAAGCAGTGTTAAACCCAACTCACTCACTCACTCAGTGAGATCCAACTGCACCTCCCTCCCAACTCACCGGTGAAGTCCCTGGCCTTGAGATTGGTGGCAAGTTCCTCACTGTTCATCTTCCTTGTCACAAAGATCAACACGGAGCCCGCTGAATAAATCAAATTGTTATCACAAACATAATTTCCTGGAGATGTTTCAGTAAAATATATGGATGAAATGACACTTCAGGGAATTCCATTGCATTGCAAGCTGTGGAGTATTGCTACTTTAGTTGACTTGCGTTGACACATTTGATGTCAAGACACTCTCATTGTGATGATCCTCTCCACGGAAATCTTTAGTAATAGGCGAAAGATTTATCTCTGGTGAGTATCTCTATCGTTTCACATATGATGTCACAGCTGTTGGAAAATCTTGGAATGTTTCAGTTTGAGGTTTGAGGTTTTACACCATCTGTGTTCCATGTGTTATGAGGTTACAGTATTATTAGTGGTATGCAAGAAGGGCTACAAGAATTATGCCCCTTTGTATGTATATATGTTCTTCTTGATTGTGTTTGTTTGTTTGTTTGTTTGTTGTTTAACGCCACACTCAGCAATATTCCAGCTTTCTGATGGCGGTCTGTAAAGAATTGAGTCTGGACCAGACAGTCCAGTGATTGACATCATGAGCATCGATCCACCCAAGTGATGTCATGTACATGTGTTTTAATGTATCATGGTAATGTCAGTTAGGCTGAGGGGTCAGTTGTGACTGAGGATTTAGTAAAGATACCACATTTTCAACTACAGTCATCGTTGTTGTCGTTATTGATGAATGATTTAAGACGAAGTATAACACATGGATGACCTTTGGGTCGGCTTCAGAACAATCTTATTATAATCATCCGTCTGACAATCCTCCAATGAAACCCCTCTAAAAGAAATACAAACAGGCAGTTCCAATAGGAAATAATAAAGGCCAAGCTATAACAGTAATGTGGCAATTTTATACACTCTGTTGTTTCTTAGTGCACAACATCCTTACCCAAAACTAAGTACATTCAAAGAAATGTTTGCAGACTGTCAGAGTTCTTTGTTCAGACAAACACTTCTACATGGAAGTGGTAAAGAGACATCAAGCCAAACATACTACTCAAAAGAAGCCAAAGAACACCTGATTTTTTCATGACTATAGATAATCTGTCATGGCCAGTGGGCGTTGCAACATACACCATTTGTGGGTGTACTTTAACTTGTTTTGAGTAGTATAGTTTTAGAAAGCTAACATATGATTGGCTCATGAACCCACACATTTTGACTGGGCAGTGAAAGTCTGCTCGGGAATCACCTGACTGACCTCTGATGGAGGATTTTTCCTGAGAGATAATATCGATGTAAAAGATCTGATCTTAATGAGAATGGATTCAGACATACTTGATGTGAACTCAACCAGTCGCTTGATGAGCCATGTCCACTTGGCTGGACCAGGAGGCAGGACTTCCACTACCTGGGTGATGTCCTCGTTAGCCTGCAAGACACAAGTCACATACACCCTACAACTCATTATACACATTCAGACATCGGAATGTTGCGACTTAGGTTCTACCCTACATTCGACAATATTCCAGCAATATCATGGCGGGGCACACCAGAAATGGGCTTTACATCCTACTTTGTCTAACTATCTATTTTTCACTGACTGCTGCCCACAATAAATTTATAATAATTATATTTAAACAGATGGCATGTTCTTTTCACAATTTCTAAACTGACACTTTAATTATTAAAACGTGTTGGCAAATATCGTTGAGTTGCAATGAAAACAGGCATTAATTGTTAATGTATTAATTCTCCTCTCTACACTTCTACACCTTCAGGATTACTGGTCAAATGAGACCACACAACGCTTGGTGGTCTCAATGTGTGACCATGCTATCTTCCACTGAGGAGGATCGTAGAGGCAATAAATTTCTGAGTCCTGTGATGGGACAAGGTAAGGATGCCATCTGTAGGATGACTCCCCTCCAACTACATACTCCCCCATCACAAGAAGGTACATCCTGGGACTTTTTTCGCTCAAATTTGATATGAACATGCTCAACCCAACATTAAATGCAAATGTAATGGCCATAACGGGATTCAACTACAGGACTTCAGTTATCATCAGGTTGACCTACATAGTCAGCTACCATACTGCAGACTCAGTCATTTTCAGGTAGACCTACTACTCAGTCATCTGCAGGTCGACCTACATAGACAGCTGCCATACTGCAGACTCAGTCATGTACAGGTCGACCTTCTAATCAGTCATCTTCAGCTCGACCTACATAGCTGCCATACTGCACTAAGTCATCTTCAGGTCGACCTACATAGCTTCCATACTGCAGACTAAGTCATCTTCAGGTCGACCTACATAGCTGCCATACTGCAGACTCAGTCATCTTCAGGTCGACCTACATAGCTAGCTGCCATACTGCAGACTTGGTCATCTTCAGGTCGACATTTGTCATATTCGAACTCAGTTATCTACAGGTCGAAATACATTGCCGTTTGTCATACTGCGGACTGGGTTATCTACAGGTTGACATTTGTCATACTGCAGTCAGCAGGGTAACACAACTTTCACCTTCACACGGTACCCACCTCTCCCACTTCCCCCTGCACAACACGGATCGGGTCGATGAGGATGTCCCGAGCCAGTTTCTCCACTCTCCGCCTGAAGGTGGCGCTGAACAGCAGAGCTGGAACCCAACCACTACATCAACGCTTGGTCATAAACACATTGAAAGAACTTGTGATCACAGCAACAGAAGCTGACAGTTTTAGTCCACTAGTCCTTATAATGATTAAAAAAAGGGCAAATTTCTATAAGCCTTATGATACGTTAACTATTGGGCAGTTTGGTAAGGACTACTGCCAATTTCTAATGCTTGATCACATTCCTGTTTTTCACATTGCGATTTCTCGATACACATCATTCATATCTCTTTTTACATTATGGAAACCAATAAGCATGGGCAAGGTGCTGATAAACCTTGTAACCTTGACAACTGCCAGGCCTTGGATGACTGGGCCACCCACTGTTCATCAGGTTTCACTCTAACAGTTCCATTTAGCCATGAGGAATTAAAACTCAAAGAAAACATTAAATACTTTACAACATGCCAGCAAACATTCTTAAAATTGAGTCTAAATATTCATATTTCAAATTCTGAATAGTTCTTTCAAAGAATATATGTGGTCATGAAGACTCTAGCTTAAGATGTGTGGCGTGTACTCACTCTGTCGGTCTGGGCGGACATGGTTGGCTATGGATCTCACTTGTGGCTCTGAAATGAATCGGAATCAAAACAATTAAACAGCTTTGACATCTTGCTTGCCCAACAAGACCATAATATATGAAGTGTAAATCTCTCTGTCCACAGATCATCTTGCCATGCCGAGCCAGACACAATGTCTTCATCATCAAACTAGAGAAACAATAGCTCATGTGTTCTCTATTCATATTGGATACGTTGATACAACCAAACAATTGATAAGTTGATACCGTAATGCCTATGTCAAACAGGCGTTCTGCCTGATCATATACCATGTACGTCAAACACTGGAGATCATGTCAAACATCTATCCATTTTGTCCTACACCAGGTCATCACACACCAAAGCCAAAGTCAAACATGCGGTCTGCCTGATAATACACCAGCTACGTCAAACAACGAATATGTCATCCACCTCGTCATACACCAGTTACATCAAACAACGAATATGTCATCCACCTCATTATACACCAGCTACGTCAAACAACGAATATGTCATCCACCTCGTCATACACCAGCTACGTCAAACAACGAATATGTCATCCACCTCGTCATACACCAGCTACGTCAAACAACGAATATGTCATCCACCTCGTCATACACCAGCTACGTCAAACAACGAATATGTCATCCACCTCGTCATACACCAGCTACGTCAAACAACGAATATGTCATCCACCTCATTATACACCAGCTACGTCAAACAACGAATATGTCATCCACCTCGTCATACACCAGGTACGTCAAACAACGAATATATCATCCACCTCGTCATTCACCAGGTACGTCAAACAACGAATATGTCATCCACCTCGTCATACACCAGGTACGTCAAACAGCAAATATGTCATCCACCTCGTCATACACCAGCTACGTCAAACAACGAATATGTCATCCACCTCGTCATACACCAGGGATGTCAAACAACGAATATGTCATCCACCTCGTCATACACCAGCTACGTCAAACAGCAAATATGTCATCCACCTCGTCAGACACCAGCTATGTCAAACAACGAGTATGTCATCCACCTTGTCATACACCAGGGATGTCAAACATGTGGTGCGCCTCATCATACACCAGGTACTTCAAACAACGAATATGTCATCCACCTCGTCATACACCAGCTACGTCAAACAACGAATATGTCATTCACCTCGTCATACACCAGCTACGTCAAACAAACGAATATGTCATCCACCTCATTATACACCAGCTACGTCAAACAACGAATATGTCATCCACCTCGTCATACACCAGCTACGTCAAACAACGAATATGTCATCCACCTCGTCATTCACCAGCTACGTCAAACAACGAATATGTCATCCACCTCGTCATACACCAGCTACGTCAAACAGCAAATATGTCATCCACCTCGTCAGACACCAGCTATGTCAAACAACGAGTATGTCATCCACCTTGTCATACACCAGGTACGTCAAACAACAAATATGTCATCCACCTCGTCATACACCAGCTACGTCAAACAACGAATATGTCATCCACCTCGTCATACACCAGCTACGTCAAACAACGAATATGTCATCCACCTCGTCATACACCAGCTACGTCAAACAACGAATATGTCATCCACCTCGTCATACACCAGGGATGTCAAACATGTGGTGCGCCTCATCATACACCAGGTACTTCAAACAACGAATATGTCATCCACCTCGTCATACACCAGCTACGTCAAACAACGAATATGTCATCCACCTCATTATACACCAGCTACGTCAAACAACGCATATGTCATCCACCTCGTCATACACCAGCTACGTCAAACAACGAATATGTCATCCACCTCATCATACACCAGCTACGTCAAACAACGAATATGTCATCCACCTCGTCATACACCAGGGATGTCAAACAACGAATATGTCATCCACCTCGTCATACACCAGCTACGTCAAACAACGAATATGTCATCCACCTCGTCATACACCAGCTACGTCAAACAACGAATATGTCATCCACCTCATTATACACCAGGTACGTCAAACAACGAATATGTCATCCACCTCGTCATACACCAGGTACGTCAAACAACGAATATGTCATCCATCTCGTCATTCACCAGCTACGTCAAACAACGAATATGTCGTCCACCTCGTCATACACCAGCTACGTCAAACAACGAATATGTCATCCACCTTGTCATACACCAGGTACGTCAAACAACGAATATGTCATCCACCTCGTCATACACCAGATCATCACACACCAAAGCCAAAGTCAAACATGCAGTCAGCCTCGTCAATACCAGGTACATCAAACACCGAACATGTCATTCACCTCGTCATACACCAGGTCAACACTCACCAAAGCCCATGTCAAACATGCGGTCCGCCTCGTCATACACAAGGTACGTCACTCGCCGCAGGTTGGTAGCCTTTTTCTTCACCAGGTCAATCAACCGGCCCTACAACATTAGAGAACAGTCAGAGATGGGGCAAGAGTTGCTGCCACTTCTATGATACAGAATAAAGAAATGTGGAATATAACACTTCGTCTACAGTACATTGTTACTGTCAATGACAAGTTTGTCTATGAACTAAAGGTTCAACTACTGATTTGGGTACACATAGTGCTCCCTCCCTCGTCTCTTTGTGCCTTGGTGTTCCTAATCGTGTCTATCACAGCTCCATATATCATCTCCCTAATCCTTACCTTTGCGTCTCTATTTCTAGAGTACCTAATCTTGATGTCTCAAACCCTAGAGCACCTAATCTTGATGTTTCTAATTCAAGGCTTCCTAAACATGATGTCCTCTATTCTATAGATCCTAATATTGGTGACCCTTATTCTATAGATCCTTATCTTTGTGTCCCTTATTCTTGAGGTCCTAATCTTGATGTCTCAAACGCTAGAGCACCTAATCTTGATGTTTCTAATTCAATTCTTCCTACACATGGTGTCCTATTCTATAGATCCTAATATTGGTGACCCTTATTCTAGAGATCCTTATCTTTGTATCCCTAACCCTAGAGCTCCTAATCTTAGTGTCCCTTATTCTAGAGCTCCCAATCTGTGTGACCCTTAATCTAGTAATCCTGATTTTGATTATTCTTCAGCTCCTAGTCATGACGTCCCAAATTCTAGAGATCCCGATCTTGGAGTCCTGTATTCTAAACTTCTTCATGTCCGGAATCCTAAAAATCCTTATCTTGATGTCCCTAATCTTTATGGCCATTATCCTGTCATCCCTAATCTTAGATCTCTTGGTGTCTCTAATCTGCAAGCTCCCATCTAGATAGTCAAATCTTTCCCCTGCACATCATCACTAATCCCCCTCATCTCGGTGGACCCCACGATTACACTACAGCTCCTTCTTTCAGTAACAGTGTTCTAGAATCAGAGATGTGATGGAAATGAGGCACTGACGGGCGTGGCCACAATGATCTCGCAGCCCTCCTGACACGCCTTGGTCTGCTCCCACATGCTGCCTCCTCCGTACGCGCACACCACACGGATGTTGTACACTTTCCCGAACTTCTTAGCCTCTTGATATATCTGGAGGAGGAAAACATTCAGTACAGAGGAAATGTAGCTAAAACCATCAACACTCCCATACTTTAACATAGACTTATGACAATCGTAGCACTTAGACGATCATAACTCCCATACCTTAACATAGACTTACGACAATCTTAGTGCTAAGATGATCAAATCTCCCATACCTTAACATAGACTTACAAAAGTTGTAGCACTAAGACGATCCTAACTCACAAACTTTAACATGGACATACAAAAGTTGTAGCACTAAGACGATCCTAACTCACAAACTTTAACATGGACTTACGATAATCTTAGTGCTAAGATGATTAAATCTCCCATACCTTAACATAGACTTACAAAAGTTGTAGCACTAAGACGATCCTAACTCACAAACTTTAACATGGACTTACAAAAGTTGTAGCACTAAGACGATCCTAACTCACAAACTTTAACATGGACTTACGATAATCTTAGTGCTAAGATGATTAAATCTCCCATACCTTAACATAGACTTACAAAAGTTGTAGCACTAAGACGATCCTAACTCACAAACTTTAACATGGACTTACAAAAGTTGATGCACTAAGACGATCGAATCTCCCATACTTTAACATAAACTTACGACAATCACAGCGCTAAGACGATCATAACTCCAATACTTTAACATAAACTTATGAAAATCTTAGTGCAAAGACGATCGAAACTCTGAAACTTCAACTTAGATTTATGAAAGCCGTAGTGCTAAGATGTTTGTAACTTCCCTTCTCTATCATAGACTTATGACAGTCACAGCACTAAGACAATCAAAACTCCCATACTTTACCATACACTTACAAAATTCTTGAGCTATGACAAGCCATGACAAAAAAGAGTGTTCTACTTTTTTCAATAAAATAGGTATATATTTGTGTGGGTTGGTGGTCATGAAAAATGTTACATGTATCAGGGGTGAGTAAAATATGTTACTGCCCTAAGACCAATCCCACCACCCCATCCTACCACCCTCAATGAAATACAACCAGTCCCTAATCAGCTCCATACGATATGCAGCGCCTACTTGCTCAATACACACTGCTTGACGCTAATATTTTAAAATATTCAGAAAATTCCTTACAAATTTACTGTTCTTTTTCAAGTAGAATTAGAAGCCTTTTCAAAAGGTCTAGTACTTTATAACATAAAACTGGTATAATAAGTATATTAAGGATTAAAAAAATAAAAGAATTGGTTCTTAGGCAATGTTTTTTTTAAATATAGTGCGGGCGGGCGGTGTCCTTTTTTTCTCTTTTTTTTGGTTGTTCAAACTAGTATGTAAACAAATAAACAGTTGTGAAACCAAATAAACAGATGTGTAACCAGATAAACAATTGTGTACAATCAACCTGGGAAAGGGCCTCCCTACATAAATGTATTCCTTGATGAGTACAATACTGCAATACAGTATTTGACTACAGTTGGACTTGGAACATTTAAGGATTTTATTTTTAAAAATTCAAAATGGAAATAAAAACAAAACATGTGGCAAACTTTATGATGATGCGGGCAGTGCCTGAGAACCAAGACTATTTTTTTTTTAGCCTAAGTATAAACAGGAAATTCAGCATTATTGGGGATCACCTGTTGCGACAATTCTCTCGTTGGTGCCAGGATCAAGCCAACTGGTCCATCTCCAGGCTCTAACTCTTTCTGCAGAAAAACAACATGTCTGAATACAGGGAAAGAAAGGTGCAACACGGCACTCATAAAGATGTTTAGTTGTCCACTTTGGGTCTTCAGTGAGCCACCAAGAACATGATCCATCCTCTAACTTGGTGAAAAATTATTTCACTATGAGATAGTTTGATAGATCTTTATTCAGAGAGGCATCATTTGGACTAATATTGGATTTTAACAACATTGTTCATTGTTCACCTGATGAAGGAGTAAGCATATACTGCAAAGCGTTGTGTTCCCCATAATAAAGAAGTTGACATCCATTAATTCTCTTCCTTATGTGTATCACTTCTAAATGCCATTCAAAGACCTAACATTGTTCTTAATCTTCCTTTGCTTGTATTTTGACTGAAAAGATCAAGTTTTTTCTCAAAGATAATAACCAATCATGAGCCTGTTTTACCTCCAGTATTATGTTAACTATGAAATCAACAAGAAAAATGTTGGTCAAATGAAAAAATATTGTTTGTTGTTCAGCAATATTCCAGCTATATGACAATGGCCTGTAAATAATCAAATTTGGACCAGACAATCCAGTGATGGAAATTTATCCACCACTTGATCCTTTGGGCCACCTTGTACTGGGGACTTATTCCTAAGTCTAAAGCACATAACATCATGTCCCTAATTCTACAGCTCCTAAACATCATGTCCCTAATTCTAGAGCTCTTAAACATCATGTCCCTAATTCTAGAGCACCTAAACATCCCGTCCCTAATTCTAGAGCTCCTAAAGATCACGTCCCTGATTCTAGTGGACCTAAACATCATGTCCCTAATTATAGAGCTTATACACATCATGTCCCTAATTTTAGAGCTCCTGAACATCATGTCCCTAATTCTAGAGCTCTTAAACATCATGTCCCTAATTCTAGAGCTCCTAAACATCATGTCCCTAATTCTAGAGCTCCTAAACACCACGTCCCAAATTCTAGACCTAAACATCATGTCCCTAATTCTAGAGCTCCTAAACATCATGTCCCTAATTCTAGAGCTCTTAAACACCATGTCTCTAATTCTAGAGCTCCTAAACATCATGTCCCTAATTCTAGAGCTCCTCAACATTATGTCCCTAATTCTAGAGCTTCTAAACATTATGTCCCATTTTCTAGAGCTCTTAAACATCATGTCCCTAATTCTAGAGCTCCTAAACACCATGTCCCTAATTATAGAGCTTATACACATCATGTCCCTAATTCTAGAGCTCCTACACATGTCCCTTATTCTAGAGCTCCTACACATCATGTCCCTAATTCTAGAGCTCCTAAACATAATGTCCCTAATTCTAGAGCTCCTAAACATAATGTCATATCGTACATATTTCAATCTTTCCTAGTGTACCCAGAGTTATATAGGTTACATATAGGCCTATATAGTCCTAGGAACTTAAATAATGAATCTACTCATGAACTTATCTTAGAGCTTTTGATGTCCCTAATCTGCAATGCTCAAATCTTTTCCACTGCACTAATGTCATCACTAATGTCATCACAAATGTCATCAATAATGTCATCACTATTGTCATCACTAATGTCATCACTAATGTCATCACAGATGTCATCATTAATGTCATCACTAATGTCATCACTATTGTAATCACTAGTGTCATCACTAATGTCATCACTTTTGTCATCACTAATGTTATCACTAATGTCATCACAAATGTCATCATTAATGTCATCACTAATGTCATCACTATTGTAATCACTAGTGTCATCACGAATGTCATCACTAATGTCATCACTATTGTCATCACTAATGTCATCACTATTGTCACCACTTATGTGATCACTATTGGCATAACTCATGTCATCACTAATGTCATCACTTTTGTCATCACTAATGTTATCACTAATGTCATCACAAATGTCATCATTAATGTCATCACTAATGTCATCACTATTGTAATCACTAGTGTCATCACGAATGTCATCACTAATGTCATCACTATTGTCATCACTATTGTCATCACTAATGTCATCACTATTGTCACCACTTATGTGATCACTATTGGCATAACTCATGTCATCACTAATGTCATCGTTATTGTCATCACTAATGTCATCACTATTGTCATCACTATTGTCATCACTAGTGTCATCACAAATGTCATCATTAATGTCATCACTATTGTCATCACTAATGTCATCACAAACGTCATCACTAATGTCATCGCTATTGTCATCACTAATGTCATCACTATTGTCATCACTATTGTCATCACTAGTGTCATCACAAATGCCATCACTAATGTCATCACAAATGTCTTCACACGTCTTCACAAATGCCATCATTAATGTCATCACAAACGTCATCTCTAATATCACCACATATGTCATCACTAATGTCATCACAAACGTCATCTCTTATGTCATCTCCCCCGCCGTGATATTGCTGGAATATTGCTAAAAGCGGCGTAAAACCAAACTCACTCACTCTTATGTCATCAATAATGTCATCACTTTTGTCATCACTAATGTCTTCACACATGTCATCACAAATGTCTTCACAAATGTCATCACAAATGTCATCACTAATGTCATCACAAATTCCACCACTAGTGTCATCACAAATGCCACCACAAATGTCTTCACAAATGTCATCACTAATGTCATCACTAATGTCATCACAAATGTCATCACAAATGTCATCACTAATGTCATCACAAATGCCATCACTAATGTCTTCACAAATGTCATCATTAATGTCATCACTAATGTCATCACAAACGTCATCTTTTATGTCATCACTAATGCCATCACAGCTGTCATTATTAATGTCATCACAAATGTTATCTCTTATGCCATCACTAATGTCTTCACTAATGTCATAACTATTGTCATCACTAATGTTTTCACAAATGTCATCATTAATGTCACCACTAATATCATCACAAATGTCATCACTAATGTCATCACCATTGACATCACTAATGTCTTCATACATGTCATCTCTTATGTCACCACTTATGTCATCACTAATGTCATAACTATTGTCATCACTAATGTTTTCACAAACATCATCTCTAATGTCACCAATATTGTCAACACTGTCTTCACAAATGTCATCACAAATGTCATAAGAAACGTCATCTCTTTTGTCACCACTAATCTCATCATTAATGTCATCATAAACATCATCTCTAATATCACCACTTATGTCATCATTTAAGCCATCACTGATCTCATAACTAATGTCATTTCTATTGTCAACACTAATGTCATCATTGATGTCACCACTAACGTCATCAATAATGTCATTTATGTCATCACAAACGTCATCTCTAATGTCACCACTAACGTCATCAATAATGTCATCACAAATGTCATCACTAATGTCATCACTATTGTCATCACAAACGTCATCTCTAAAGTCACCACTAATGTCATCACAAATGTCATCACAACTATCATGACTAATGTCATCACGTGTCTTGTGTGTGTCTTGTGTGTGTCTTGTGTGTATCTCTTGTGTGTGTCTTGTGTGTGTTTTGTGTGTGTCATGTGTGTCTTGTGTGTCTCGTGTGTGTCTTGTGTGTCGTGTGTGTGTCTTGCGTGTCCTGTGTGTCTTGTGTGTGTCTTGTGTGTGTCGTGTGTGTGTCTTGTGTGTGTCGTGCGTGTCTTGTGTGTGTCTTGTGTGTTTCTTGTGTGTAGTTCATGTGTCTTGTGTTTGTCGTACGTGTCTTGTTTGTGTCGTGCATGTGTCTTGTGTGTGTCGTGCATGTAGTGTGTCGTTTGTGTGTCTTGTGTGTGTCTTGTGTGTTTTGTGTGTCTTGTGTGTGTCTTGTGTGTGTCTTGTGTGTCGTTTGTGTGTCTTGTGTGTTTCTTGTGTGTGTCTTGAGTCTTGTGTGTCTTGTGTGTGTCGTGTGTCTTGTGTGTGTCTTGTGTGTGTCTTGTGTGTTTTTCATGTGTGTGTCGTGTGTGTGTTGTGTGTTGTGTGTGTCGTGTGTTTGTCTTGTGTGTGTGTCTTGTGTGTGTCGTGTGTGTGTCGTTTGTGTGTCGTGTGTGTCGTGTGTGTCTTGTGTGTCTTGTGTGTGGTGTGTTTGTCTTGTGTGTGTGTCTTGTGTGTCTTGTGTGTGTCTTGTGTGTGTCTTGTGTGTACACCAGCAACCCACCTGATCCATGATGTGGATGAGTAGAGGCCACACGAATGCTGCAGTCTTTCCACTTCCGGTCTTGGCAATACCGATGATGTCCCTGCCACTCATCGCTATGGGAACGCCCTGGTGGTGGAGGGGACAGACATAATTAAGGGGGAACAATACACTCAACGATACATTGAACTATCCAAGCACTGCAACTGCCAAGTTGAATTATCAGATGTTTACATGTATACCCCTCTACACTATTGATGAACGTGATATGTGATATTAAATACTGACAAACATTTGCTGTATCATGTGTTGTTAAATAAATACATCTTTGCAGAGACTTTTGTACATCATTCAGAACTGGTTGGCAAGTTCATATCAGACAGGAAACTGAAAGGTCAGTGGTTCTATTCCTGGATGTGTCAGACCAAGAGACATTAAAAGATGGTACTTGTTGTAACCCTGCCTGACACTCGGTACAAAGGGGCTAAAACAAGGACTGGTCAGCTTGGAGTCAGTATACTGTGTCTGTGTAGGGTATCAATGTGTACTGCGGCATGGTATCTCAGTGGGCTAGCACTATAAAAGCAACATCAGTTCGGACTAGTGCAAGCAGCAACACAAACACATGCATCCATGCTGCTATGTAAGTGCAATAATCTTGAATGCGAGTTAACCCCATTTCACCTTACCACATATCGGACAACAATCAGTGCTGCCTCCTCAACTCCCTAGGAACACTCTGTCAGTGCATGAACTGACCTGGCTGGTTTGGGAACACTCTGTCAGTGCATGAACTGACCTGGCTGGGTTGGGAACACTCTGTCAGTGCATGAACTGACCTGGCTGGGTTGGGTACACTCTGTCTGTACATGAACTGACCTGGCTGGGTTGGGAACACTCTGTCAGTGCATGAACTGACCTGGCTGGGTTGGGAACACTCTGTCTGTGCATGAACTGACCTGGCTGGGTTGGGAACACTCTGTCTGTGCATGAACTGACCTGGCTGGGTTGGGAACACTCTGTCAGTGCATGAACTGACCTGGCTGGGTTGGGAACACTCTGTCAGTGCATGAACTGACCTGGCTGGGTTGGGAACACTATGTCTGTACATGAACTGACCTGGCTGGGTTGGGAACACTCTGTCAGTGCATGAACTGACCTGGCTGGGTTGGGAACACTCTGTCAGTGCATGAACTGACCTGGCTGGGTTGGGAACACTCTGTCTGTACATGAACTGACCTGGCTGGGTTGTGGAACACTCTGTCAGTGCATGAACTGACCTGGCTGGGTTGGGAACACTCTGTCAGAGCATGAACTGACCTGGCTGGGTTGGGAACACTCTGTCAGTGCATGAACTGACCTGGCTGGGTTGGGAACACTCTGTCAGTGCATGAACTGACCTGGCTGGGTTGGGAACACTCTGTCTATGTACGTTGGGAACACTATCTGTGCAATCTCATTAAAATAAGATCTTAGTTCTCGCTATCGCTAAACAAATATCTGAGGACATCACATTATGGGTCTTGTCAGAACGACCTTTCATCCGACCAATCAAAGCGTCGCTTACCAGATGATGAAAGTGACAGTCGGAATGTCTTTTCTAATCATGCAACCCCAAAAACGTTAAGACGGGGTATTCCAAACCTCAGTTACGGCCCGTACGACTGATTCCGTCAAAATTATCGTCCTTCTCTCACCTCCGTGGGATAAACATTTAAACGGAGGAGGCGTTGCACAGTACGTGGGAAGCATTGCCATACAATCTCAACCATATATCAGACATTCCGGAATGTTCGTTTGTTCAGTTTTTAAAATTTTAATCGAGAACTGTGTCAACATATTTTTCAAGCGTAGTCTGAAATGGGAGTCGCCAGGTTGCAAGCTAGAGAAAGCTGCTTTCTAATTAACTGATATCGACTTCTTGTTAGTTGTTTCAGTGGTCGGTCAAAGTTTGCGAAAGGTTGTTCTGACGTGACCCATAATGGGATGTCCTCAGATCAGTGTTTAGCAGCAGCGATAACTTAGATTTGAATGAGATTGACTATTTGTGCAAGTACTCACCAGGGCCTGAAGGGGCATGGGTTGTGAACACACTGTCTATGTTGGGAACACTCTGTCTGTGTATGTTTGGAACACTGTGTATGAGGAACACTCTGTCTGCGTACGTTCGGAACACTATCTGTGCAAGCACTCACCTGGGCCTGAATGGGCATGGGTTGTGAGTACTCCGCCTTGCGAACCGTGTGCAGCAGCTGCTCATCAAAGCCAAAGTGGGCGAAGCTTGTGACAGGTCTTGGGGGATCAACACCAGACACCTGTATACAGAGGTACCGGTATGTGATACAGATAAAATGTAGGATGACCCAAATCTTTGTTTGTAAATTTGCATTAAGATACCTGGATCGTAAAGTGAAGTAACATATGAAAAACACTTTCTTATTGTAAAACAAAGTCACCATTTTGCATGTCACCAACATGGTCTGGATAAGCTGCAGGCAATGTAAGTATTTTCCAGTGGTTTCATCATGGATCTGGAATATCTTGTAAAATCATTTATGTAACACATATCTTGACCTGACAGCTCCATGACATAAACATGTTATTTGACAAGACTTTATATCTCCTCCGACAATCATATCCGTTGTTATGGCATGCGTTAATTTCGGCTTTCCGTGAAAGGTGAGCCAAACCGGACTTAAGTTCAAGGTAGTGAAACCCATGCATGGGTATGGTGCTTACAGACCACGGATGATAATAACAACAAAACAACAATAATAGTGTTAAATCAAAAGATTACTTTGCACATAAATTGCTTTCTCAGCTCCCTGGGGAGGATTCAACCAGGTACCCATTCACTGCTGGGTGAACAGAGGCATATTTCAAACATTTATGTGCCTGACATGCCTAAGGAGACCCCACTTGTTTAACACCCAGAGCAACGCTTACCGAGCACAGTCGGCTATTTACCTCACCTCATTTCAAAGCAGTGCAGAATTTCCCCTTGTGCGGTCCCACATACCCCACAAGGGAGGATCTTGGATTCAAAAACTCATATTGGATCCAGACAATAACTAAGGGACACAACTCTTCATGACAAGTTGTGACACCTGGGAGGATCTGGGATTCAAAAAACCCATCAGTGGATCCAGACAATAACTAAGGGACACAACTCTTCACGACAAGTGGTGGCACCTGGGAGGATCTGGGATTCAAAAACCCATATTGGATCCAGACAATAACTAAGGGACACAACTCTTCACGACAAGTTGTGACACCTGGGAGGATCTGGGATTCAAAAACCCATATTGGATCCAGACAATAACTAAGGGACACAACTCTTCATGACAAGTTGTGACACCTGGGAGGATCTGGGATTCAAAAACTCATATTGGATCCAGACAATAACTAAGGGACACAACTCTTCACAACAAGTGGTGACAGCTGGGAGGATCTTGGATTACAAAACACGTGGATCACGACAATGACAAAAGGGAACACCTAACACAACTTGTGACACTTTAAACCACTGAGCTGCCAGTGACCCCAAAGTAATAAATGATACAATCAATCTGATATGATCTGACCTTGATCCCAAGTTTGAAGCGAAGGTCGTCCACTTCCTGCTTTGTCAGCGTCTTGATGTCATCGTGGGCCACATAGAAGTTCTTGATGAAACTGTTGTAGTCTATATCCGAGTGGTCCATTGGCGGCAGGGGGTCAATTATCTGTGTTTAGATAGTGTCATTTTAGTCCTGGACAGTTAACCCAATCGAGCACCTACAGCGGGGCACTCAAACATACAAGTGGAAATAGTTCCAGTTTGTGTGATGTAGCAATGATGTACATTGTTACTGTACTTCTGAACTTCTAATGCAATGATAAAGTTCATTGTTACTGTACTTCTGAACTTCTAATGCAATGATAAAGTACATTGTTACTGTATTTCTGAACTTCTAATGCAATGATAAAGTACATTGTTACTGTACTCCTGAACTTCTAGTGCAATGATAAAGTACATTGTTAATGTACTTCTGAACTTCTAATTCAATGATAAAGTACATTGTTACTGTACTTTTGAACTTCTAATTCAATGATAAAGTACATTGTTACTGTACTTCTGAACTTCTAATGCAATGATAAAGTACATTGTTACTGTACTTCTGAACTTCTAGTGCAATGATAAAGTACATTGTTACTGTATTTCTGAACTTCTAATGCAATGATAAAGTACATTGTTACTGTACTCCTGAACTTCTAATTCAATGATAAAGTACATTGTTAATGTACTTCTGAACTTCTAATTCAATGATAAAGTACATTGTTACTGTACTCCTGAACTTCTAGTGCAATGATAAAGTACATTGTTACTGTACTTCTGAACTTCTAATGCAATGATAAAGTACATTGTTACTGTACTCCTGAACTTCTAATGCAATGATAAAGTACATTGTTAATGTACTCCTGAACTTCTAGTGCAATGATAAAGTACATTGTTACTGTACTTCTGAACTTCTAATGCAATGATAAAGTACATTGTTACTGTACTCCTGAACTTCTAATGCAATGATAAAGTACATTGTTACTGTACTCCTGAACTTCTAATTCAATGATAAAGTACATTGTTAATGTACTTCTGAACTTCTAATGCAATGATTAAGTACATTGTTACTGTACTTCTGAACTTCTAATGCATTGATAAAGTACATTGTTAATGTACTCCTGAACTCCTAGTGCAATGATAAAGTACATTGTTACTGTACTTCTGAACTTCTAATGCAATGATAAAGTACATTGTTACTGTACTCCTGAACTTCTAATGCAATGATAAAGTACATTGTTACTGTACTCCTGAACTTCTAATGCAATGATAAAGTACATTGTTACTGTACTCCTGAACTTCTAATTCAATGATAAAGTACATTGTTACTGTACTCCTGAACTTCTAGTGCAATGATAAAGTACATTGTTAATGTACTTCTGAACTTCTAATGCAATGATTAAGTACATTGTTACTGTACTTCTGAACTTCTAATGCAATGATAAAGTACATTGTTAATGTACTCCTGAACTCCTAGTGCAATGATAAAGTACATTGTTACTGTACTCCTGAACTTCTAATTCAATGATAAAGTACATTGTTAATGTACTTCTGAACTTCTAATTCAATTATAAAGTACATTGTTAATGTACTTCTGAACTTCTAATGCAATGATAAAGTACATTGTTACTGTACTTCTGAACTTCTAATGCAATGATAAAGTACATTGTTAATGTACTCCTGAACTTCTAATGCATTGATAAAGTACATTGTTACTGTACTTCTGAACTTCTAATGCATTGATAAAGTACATTGTTACTGTACTCCTGAACTTCTAATGCAATTATAAAGTACATTGTTAATGTACTTCTGAACTTCTAATGCAATGATTAAGTACATTGTTACTGTACTCCTGAACTTCTAATGCATTGATAAAGTACATTGTTACTGTACTTCTGAACTTCGGCAAGAAAAAGTGGACTTAAAAAATAATCCAAATTTTAAACAATATGACGACTTTTGCCCAATTTGCAACCAAAGGGCACGTAGTTTACAGTGGCAGTTTTAATCATATGAGGGATACCTAATATATGACAGACTACTCAGGAAGCGTTTCTGCATCAGAACAAAGATTGACTTCATTCTAGTCTCTTTGTAGGATCATATATTTTTCTTTCTTTCTTATTTCTTAAAATAACGTAGGGAAATTTATAGATCAACCAACATGAAACTTAGAGATGTTTTGTCTAAGATGTGCAAGTGAAGGGTTGAGGACTAAAACTATCTTTTAATCACACATTGACAATAAATAATAATTCCTCATAACATATTTTCTTGACTTTAGTGCACACCCAAGCATAATGTGCTACCCCCTCGAGGGGATTCAGTATTTCGGGAAAAACGTTTGTTTGAGTATTATGCACAGTAAAAGCTACATTGTAATGTCTCATGTGAATGAATGGGAGATAACAAACTTGGTCAATGAATCTGTTAACAAAACTACCGGTGATTCAGTCACAAATACCCAATAGCATTAGGCTTAAAAAATAAAAGAATTGGTTCTCAGGAAATGTTTTTTTGAAACATAGTGCGGGTGGCCATGTCCATTTTTAAAAAAAAATAATTTTTTTGTTCAAACTAGTATGTAACCAAATAAATACTTATGTAACCAGATAAACAATTCTGTACTATCAGCCTGGGAAAGGGCCTCCCTACATAAATTTCTTCCTTGATGAGTAAAATACTGGAATACAGTATTTGACTACTGTTTGACTTGGAATATTTAAGGATTTTTTTTCAAAAAATTAAAAATGGAAATATAAAAAAAACCTGCGGCAAACTTTATGATGATGTGGGTGGTGCCTGAGAACAAGACCATTATTTTTTTTAGCCTTACTAGAAAGATTTTGATGATCATAAGAAATTGTATTCTCTAATCACGATGGTTAATTTAAGATTTAAGATGTCACCCACCTTATTCCGCTCAGGGAGGATGACGTTACCATCTTCATCATACTCGATGCCGTCGTCCTCATCCACAATGACACCAGCCATAGGGTTTTCTTCCATGTAGCGGAAGTAGGACTCCATCTCATCTTCCTGGTCGATGTCGTCGCGCACACCCCTGCAACAACACCACACACACTCAACAGACAAATACACCAGGTCTAATCAGGATCTACACCTGAGAGTGGGGACCTATAACACCTAGCTCCCCACTGGGTGTAAGGAGGACCTACACTGTCTGGCTCCCCAGTGGGTGTAAGAAGAACCCACGCTGCCTGGCTTCCCAGTGGGTATAAGGAGGACTTACGCTGCCTGGCTCCCCAGTGGGTGTAAGGAGAGCCTATGGCGCCTGGCTTCCCAGTGGGTGTAAGAAGGACCTACACTGTCTGGCTTCCGAGTGGGTGTAAGGAGGACCTACACTGCCTGGCTTCCCAGTGGGTGTAAGGAGGACCTACACTGCCTGGCTTCCCAGTGGGTGTAAGGAGGACCTACACTGCCTGGCTTCCCAGTGGGTGTAAGGAGGACCTACACTGCCTGGCTTCCCAGTGGGTGTAAGGAGGACCTACACTGCCTGGCTTCCCAGTGGGTGTAAGAACGACCTACACTGTCTGGCTTCCAAGTGGGTGTAAGAAGGACCTACACTGCCTGGCTTCCCAGTGGGTGTAAGAACGACCTACACTGTCTGGCTTCCAAGTGGGTGTAAGAAGGACCTACACTGTCTGGCTTCCCAGTGGGTGTAAGGAGAGCCTATGGCGCCTGGCTTCCCAGTGGGTGTAAGAAGGACCCACACTGCCTGGCTCCCTACTGGGTATAGGAAGGACCTACACTGCCTGGCTCCCTACAGGGTGTAAGAAGGACGTACACTGTCTGGCTCCCAACGGGGTATAAGGAGGACCTACACTGCCTGGCTCCCCACTGGGTGTAAGAAGGACCCACACTGCCTGGCTCACTACTGGGTATAGGAAGGACCTACACTGCCTGGCTCCCTACTGGGTGTAAGAAGGACCTACACTGTCTGGCTCCCAACGGGGTATAAGAAGGACCTACACTGTCTGGCTCCCTACAGGGTGTAAGAAGGACGTACACTGTCTGGCTCCCAACGGGGTATAA